CCTTCGTTTCATCGTTGCAAAGCGGCAACTCCCAGCTCTCACCTTTCTCTGCTTGCACAGCTCACATCTTGGGGTGGTGTTGTTAGCTTCGCGGGTGTTCTCTAAAGGCCCGTTTTCAGGAGAGGATGCCATGGGAAGATGCTGAATGATGGGGAGGCTTTCAGAGAGGGATGGGATGGCCAAGGAGAGCGACAGGGGTGGGGGCCCAAACTGGGACAGAATGAATGGATGACATACGAGACGGAGATTGGTCTCTTGCGTTTCCCAAGGCGAGGGGCATCTAGATCGTCCTGGTCATGGTCGTGTTCATCGCGGCCATCGCGTTCATCCCCACTATGCGATGGATGGTCCCCGTCGTCCGATTCGTGCTGGTCGGCTATGCCTGTGCCTGTGCCGTTTTGGCCGTTCTGCATCTCGGTAGGAGAAGAACCCGGCGCGGAGTTGAGAGAGCTCGGGGATCTGGGATCTGGGATCTCGGGTCAATGTTGGACGAGCGAGAGAAAGCTTAACAGTGGCGTACAAGGGAATCTCGGGTCATCTATTCGTAGCTCGGACGCACTACGCGCGTGGGGCCGGGTGTCGATTTGAAGGCTAGGAAACGAGGTACGTGTACGGTTCGTTTCTGTCTTTGCGACCTCGGACTAAGATGCTGCGCATCAGGGTCTCGGAAGTGAGAGAGGGCCGCCGAGATCCTCAGCCTATTCGTAGTCGTTCTGTGCTGTGGTGGAGACTTTACTGTCGGGGGTTAGAACTTAGTCCAGGTTGCCAGTTGGCCCACCGACTCTCACCGTCCGGGTTAAAGACGAAGAAACACTAAACCAATCAGGCCGGTCAATGTCGCGTCTACCAAGCGTGTGTAGCTGTGGACGGAGAAGCAGTGAGAGGCAGTGATAAAAGGCAAGAACAAAGGACGGATCACAGGTCCAAGTTGGTCGGTGTTCTTCGATACGAGGGTTGTGCGGGGATGCGGAGAAGCTGGAGGGAGGGTAAACTGCGCACAGGCCACTTCGGAATAATTAAGTAAGGTACGGTGGCACGACAAAAGGACCGAAGCTCTTTACATAATCGCACTGTGCACAACGCGTCGGTACTTTTGGGCACCTAGGTAGGTACTCACTGTGCGACGTAACTAAGGTACCTAAAACCGAAGACCGAGGATATCAAATTACCGTAATCACACTCCCTCCGTAGAGGCTTCCAACGTGCATAAAGCGACGCTTATATGCTGAGTTCAACTATGCAAGATCACGTCTTAGCATTTGGGTTTGGAAATCAGTCTGTTCATACAGCTTTAACAACCGAGTCGGTAAAGTGCTTCGGTCCTTTAAGCCACTGTCCTAACCTAGGTACGAGGTACGATCCGTCCGTACACTTATTATAACGACCGTGCTTCTCAGGGTCGCGCTTTTTACCCCCTGTATCGGACGGATTTACCCGTACTTCGTAGCAACCCTGTGAAGTAAGGTACCATAGGTAAGGTAGGATGACTGTATGATCACCTCGATTTCATCCCGTACTTGGTCCAATTTTCCAATTTTCTCCTTGTCGGTCATATCCTTCCTTTAGAAAGCTCACATGCACTCCGTCGGAAACATCGTACGCCATCGCGGGTGACATTCTCCCAGCGAAAGAGACATTGAAACATGGATGATACAATGATACATAGGTACACTACACACAATGCCCCAATAGGCAGGCGGGGTAGGGGATGCCCGTTCTCCTTGTCGGTACATCTACTCCCGACGTCCACGAAGCCACCATCAACATCCCGTCAGCCGTTACGCACAAAAGGACATGCGATTGGAAGGAACTCTAGACCCCGCCCTTCTGGGCGGTAGTAGAGCTTGAGAAGATTAATCACTTGCTTCTCATACATACCTTTTCTTCGACTCTCCTCCTGAACTGACAGATCATGGCGTCGGCAAGGTCGTTTCCCACCATCAAGGCGGTCCGTTCGTTTGTTATTGGTGGCGTGGGCTCTGGGGGTGACTATCACAATGTCAAGGGCGGCCATTGGTGAGTGTTGCCACGGTTGCTCCCCTTTTCTGGCCGGTTCTGACGTGACGAGCCCAGGCTCATCGATTCGCCCATATCGACGCCGTCGTCTCGATGGGAGAAGTACCGACATTCTCGGACGAGCTGGGGCATCAACGTCTTGGGCTCTTTCCTCGTCGAGATTGAGGCCTCGGATGGCACCGTCGGTTTCGCTACGGGGTTCGGAGGCCCGCCCGCTTGCTGGCTCGTCCACCAGCACTTTGAGCGTTTCCTCATCGGCGCCGACCCTCGGGATACCAACCTCCTCTTCGAACAAATGTACCGCTCCTCCATGTTCTACGGCCGCAAGGGTCTACCCATCGCCATCATCTCCGTCATCGATCTCGCTCTGTGGGACCTCCTGGGCAAGCTGCGAAACGAGCCTGTCTACAAGCTGATCGGGGGCGCCACCAAGCAGCGTCTCGATTTCTACTGCACCGGCCCCGACCCCCCCGCGGCCAAGGCGATGGGTTTCTGGGGCGCCAAGGTGCCCCTCCCGTACTGCCCCGAGGAAGGCCACGCCGGCCTCCGGAAGAACGTCGCGTTCCTCCGTAAGCACCGCGAGAGCGTCGGACCCGACTTCCCCATCATGGTGGATTGCTACATGAGTCTCAACGTGTCGTACGTCATCGAGCTGGCCAAGGCGTGTGAGGACCTCAACATCAACTGGTGGGAGGAATGCCTGTCTCCCGACGACACGGACGGCTTCGAGCAGATCAAGAGGGCGCACCCGACCATAAAGTTCACGACCGGAGAGCACGAGTACTCTCGCTACGGATTCCGCAAGCTGGTCGAGGGTCGCAACTTGGACATCATACAGCCGGACGTCATGTGGCTGGGCGGCCTGACGGAGCTGCTCAAGGTGTCGGCCCTGGCGGCGGCGTACGACATCCCCGTCGTTCCTCACGCCAGTGGCCCCTACAGCTACCACTTTGTCATCTCGCAGCCCAACACGCCGTTCCAGGAGTACTTGGCCAACTCGCCCGATGGCAAGAGCGTCTTGCCCGTATTCGGCGACCTGTTCCTGGACGAGCCCATCCCCACCAGGGGCTTCTTGACGGCCGCGGACTTGGACAAGCCCGGGTTCGGCTTGACCATCAACCCTGCTGCCCGGGCAAAGTTGATCCCTGGTGAAAAGCTCCTGCACCCGAGTCCGGTACAAACCTCACGCCCTTACTTTTTGTCTGTTTTAATGTTTAGTAGTTGACGTGCTGACTAGTTACAGGAGGTTCCCCTCAAGATTGGAGAGCCAAAGGTCGAGGAGCCCAAGACATAAAATATACCAAGACAGAGGGTCCTCCGGCGAATAAAACCAATACGATGATTAGAAGATAGGGCGAAACCAAAGTGGAAAGAAATGCTCACGTATGCGGCCGCTCCAACCTGCGGGGGGCGGAGCCAGGAATTCTGGAAAGCTGCCAAAGTCCCAGCGTGGTCAGAGTCCTGTTAAGGAGGAACGGGTCATCCCATTTCATGGCACATGTAGACAACTACCGCACATCATTGGAATATTTTCAGGGCCAGAAGTAATAGAACCTCATAGTCAATCTTTTTGAGACGACAAAACTCTTACACTTCTCGTCCAAAGACCGATCAAGAATGATACCATCTACCAAATCTCACCAGGCAACGGCAACTGTCCTGCTGGTGGATGTTCTCTGTTCTCTGTATGCCTTTCTCCTCACGAGTCCCGATATCGGTCTCGGTACAATATACCCCGAAACGCGGGGTCGGACGCGGGGTACGGCATGGGATGGGGATTCCCCTTTCAAGGATGGGGAAGAGAGACGGAAAGCTCAGAAAATGATGGCAATGGCAATGTCGTGATTTGGACATTGAAGAGCCAAAGCCCACACTGGGCTTCCTCACGGTCAGTATCCGAAGCAGAGTCATCTGAGGCTCGTTTCGCCCCCCTCCCCACCCGCGAAATGGCGCCTCCCTCAGGCCTACTGGCCGGCAAGACGGCCATCATTACCGGAGGAAGCACCGGGATTGGCCGCGCCATCGCCCTCGAATATCTCCGCCAGGGCGCCAACGTTGTCATCAACCACCTCGGCCTAGAGAAGGACCAGCCGCATCTCGACTCCCTCCTTGCCGAAGCCGAGTCAGCCCCGGGCCGCCTCGCTCACCAGGTCGGCGACATCCGAGACCCCGCCACGTCCACCCTCCTAGTCGAGCAGGCCGTCCGCCATTCCGACCGGGGACGCCTCGACATCTGCGTCTCCAACGCCGGCATCTGCACCTTCGCCGACTTCCTCGACCTGAGCCCCGACCTCTTCGCCAACACGGTCCGCACCAACCTCGACGGCGCCTTCTACGTCGTCCAGGCCGCGGCCCGCCAGATGGCCGCCCAGACCCCCGCCGGCGGCAGCATCATCGGCGTCAGCTCCATTTCCGCCCTCGTCGGCGGCGGCCAGCAGACGCACTACACCCCGACCAAGGCCGGCGTGCTGTCGCTGATGCAGAGCACCGCCGTCGCCCTCGGGAAGCACAACATCCGCTGCAACGCCTTGCTGCCCGGGACCATCGAGACCCAGCTCAACGAGGAGGACCTCGCCGACGAGGCCAAGCGCGCGTACATGGAGAAGCGCATCCCTCTCGGCCGTACTGGCGTGCCTCGTGACCTTGCTGGCCCGGCCGTCTTCTTGGCCTGCGATGAGCTTAGCGGTTACGTGACGGGGGCGCAACTATTAGTTGATGGCGGTCTCTTCGTCAACTTGCAGTAGCCCCGCTCTGGACCTCTGGTTGGCAAGCAAAGATCGTACGTTGTACGTGTCGTGTACGCTTCGACCCCCCTTTTCTTGTTGGGTTCATCCCGGAGCATAACGTGTCGTCCTACGGGATACCCGAATAGTCGTCGATGACGTTGGCACTGGGCCGGGTCCCCGACAGCATCCTAGGTGCCTCTTTCCTCTCTTGCGGAGTATTGAGGCCCCATCCCCCCTTTCAGTTCACCGGTCATTGACTGGCGGAGCCCGCTTGGATGAGGGAACAGAGGGAACAGAGGGAACAGGCTCCATAAGCTAGGTGCTCCGTACATAAACTCGGGACAAGGGAGACGAGAGAATGAGGGGTGGAGGTTGAGCAGAATCGGTGACGTGACGTTGAATGAAAGGGCCCACATTAATGAAAACTGGAGCAGACAAGACTGACACTGGCGTCTGGTCTGCGCAGTGTGAGACTCACGATCGTGTATTGGCACATGGGGTAAGCAGCACGATGGCGTGCATATGGAGTAGGTGTAGTGGAGCGTTGTGAGTTGTGGGTTCGCGGGGAACGTCCATGTCCCTGAAGGTGTCCGGACTCCGGACTTGTTCGTCTCGTAGTTAATGGTGATGGTAATTTGGCCAGCGGGTAGGCGGATCCTGAGCCCTGAATCCTGAGTCGTGAATCCCTGGACCTCCCATACTCCCGCGATGCGTCCACCACCTGAAGATGCCGAACTCCACATCATCAAGTCGTCTCTTTTCTCTTCAAGCAGAGGATCCTGACTGAAGATGCTAGCAATCTGCACTTCCATGGGCACAAACATGAGCCGCCGTCTTTAACCAGGCACCGCCGGTTTGTAACGGCTCTCATGAGCCATTTGGCATGGTCGCAGGATGTTCTCCTTCCAGCTCGGACACATTTATCTCCCAGGGCTCCGCAGATTGAGGCACAATGGGGAAGGGGGGGCTGGTACACGTACTGGAGTCTGATAGCAGCGCGATTTTTCTCCTGATACGTTACAGTTTTGAATGTACAACGGCCATCGGCGGGGCGGCCCCATGTCTTGGAGTGGAAATCTGAACTTGTATGGTACGAAGCAATTACTTGGTAATTACACCCTATCAGCGAGATGTGAGGTAACTGGGTGTGGGTGAGATATGCGCGCTTCATCGGGGCGGTCTGCTGTTGTTTGTTGATCCCCTGGAGGGCAGTGGCCTATCGCGACCGCTGTGCAGTAATTGGTTCCATCTCGTTTCGCCGTCCTAAATATATGAAGTACTATTATTGCCATTCTTAAGATGTTGCCTGCTCTGTCAGGCAATGTTTGAGTGTCACAATATGCCTATACCCTGGAGGATTGGGAAGCCTGCAGCTGGTGGCTTGGCGAGAATGCCCGAATGGTGTGATAGATGAGAGATGAGGAGAATAAAAGAGCACGGATATTGTTGGACAAATCCCCTGGATGTCCTGGATATCCCGGTCGGTGAGAGGCCGTCCACCGCATGTGGGTGAATTATCGAACGGGCGCACTTCCAAGGTACGAAATGTCGTCGTTGCGCTCTCTCTTACGCAGGGTGTGCTGTGTGCATGCAAAGAGACAGCGAGATGATACCCTCCCAAAGTCAGGGCTCTCAGGCTCAGGTTGACGTCAAACCCCAATCACCACGACAGGAACAGCTTTTCGGCCTCGCTGAGTTATCTGTAGTGTATTGTACTCCGTAATAAAGACCGCATTCCCGGCTAGAGATGGGTAGTCGAGTGGCAATCTGTCGATCAGTTAATAAATCAGCCAAGGTCGCACCACACCGTTTACGTATCAACTGGCACGGCTTTGCTTTTTCCTCGTTTGATAAGATAGCATACCCTTGGCCCTGTGGCCCCGTGGTATTACGTTGTACACGTATTACCTCGCATCCCTACAGAAGTACTTTGGTTGTCTCAAATGAGGGATCCCTGCATGTTAGCACTCTGTAAGTGAGAGGTTTAGCAAGATGTACGTTGTACAGTGTATACGAAGAACAAGCCAAGGCACGTAAAAATTATCATTATACGGGAAATAAGCCTGAACGTACGTACAGTGAGTGAGCAAAAGTTTCGAGATAACCCAAAGTAGAATGCTTCGGGAGCTTTTGGGGAACACTTTTCTATTAGTGGCAAAACCATATCATATTACAAAAGTAACGAATCACTGGATCTTTAAAATATACCGAAATTATCGCTCACCCTCTATACACTTACTTGGAGTGATTATCTAGGTTTGTACCTGACGGTGGGTTTAATTTGAGGTAGGCATTGTTCTCTCATTCAAAGTCAGAGCCCGAGTTGAGCATTCCATCCAACGCTCTGCCGGTCCCCTACATCCATCTCAGATCGGAACTATTCTAGTGAATATCCCCATGTCAGGTCCCTTGCTGCAGCGGTGAGACGATAGTGCCTAATTGCCACCCGAGGTCTTCCGGACCCGGCAACCGGCTCCGGGCGTAGGGCGAATCAAAGGCAGTTTTGGACACACCGGGTCCCGTCTTTTCTCGTGACTAAACCAACGGTTGTGCCGACTAGGAGTGGGATCGGACAAAAGCGGCAACGGGAAACGACCACGAAAATGGGAAGTACCAACTACCTCCTCCAGCTTACTTGAGTGAGCCCTGGCCCTCAACAGACGCTGCTATAGTGAGAAGAAGAAAAAAAGATTCAGCGTATCAGCTACTTTGCCGAGGATATTGGCTTTGGGTGGTATCGGCTTTGTATGAGACACTTTCGGTCCGGCTAGCGGAGCTCTTGAAGCCTTGGCAGCGGGCCGGCGGGGCATAGGTGCTCCGCAACGAACAGGGCTTGGCACTTCTAGCGTTGTATTCTGCGGTTCCAGGGGTGAAACATTGACGTCATTGGAGATGGGAGACAAAAATTCTTATATACGAAGTACAACGTACCTTATATAATGGTGGGACATAACGACCCCTCAGGTTCGACGCGCCAGGTGAAATACACGTACCTAAGGTACCTAGCTATTTGAGTAAGATATCTGTGGACCCTGTGGGGACGTGCTGCATGCGGCGGTCGAAGGGACCCGGGTGCGGTATAATAACGGCCAACCACGCTCGACCAACAGGCGGTGGTCACTGGTACCCCGCCCGCTCGTTCAAACGAATTCTTCGTACGAAGTACATTATTCGGCGTAGTTCCTCCTTTTTGTTGTCCCTGTTTGGTGTATGTCCAGGTTGCGAGGTGGTAGGTACCGACGCCAACCACATCGTAGCCGCATGGGTGCGGTCCCTGGAATCGGCAGGCAAAGGCAATTAATTACTGGACACCTACGGCTCGCTGCTACCCATATAGGGGGCTGTTTCATTAATTCCCCGAGCAAGTGATATGGGTAAATCGGGCGTCGCTTCCGAGGTGCCTACGGATAGTATTTGGGCGATGGCCTGCCTTTCATGCCAAACCGGGCCATTCATGCCAATCCGGGTATCCCCGTTTAGAGTATCTTCAACTCAACCTTGGCTGAACACATCGCACATGTGAAAGGGACCTTGGAAGCACATGGAACCACATTGGACCAGGCGTTCAACGGCTCTCCGGCAGCAAGCATCAAGGCTTGGAATCACATCTGTCAGACGATAGGAAGTTCTCACAAGTCTCAAACAACCTACAGTACCATCATCCGAGAAAGGTGCAGATCCACACGTTAATAGCCCGTAAAAGTCTACCAGTAACTACACGTACCACACCTCTGTGGCGGCTTGAGGCAACCGCACAGCACAGACAGGGCGTTAGGGTTCTTCGTTACCTAAGGTGGGTACGTGATTGGGGGGAAGGCTAAGGTACCTAAGGTACCTACCTAGGGTAAGGTACAGAGTAAGGTAAGCTGCGTGCGAGGCGAAGTAGCCTGTAAGCACCGACCTCTACAGGGGACAGACAGCAGGGCAACCGCAGCACATTGGGCCATTGGCCTGCACGACGTAACGTAATCATTGTGTGCCATATCTTAGGACCATCCACTCTGTTGACGTGACTCGCATATTATTTCTGGAGACCTAGGTGGCTCTGGTGGAGTCGAGAAGCCCTGGCGGATGATTTTTATGGGGTCGCCTTGGCCCTGCCGCCCCTAGGGTCCCTAGGGCCCCTACGCCTTGCCATCATCCTTGCAGCTGGTTGGCCGGCGTCACGGTACCAAGAGTTCACTCCCTCGTTGCCATTTGCAAAGATGGGAATCGATGGAGGGATGTCTGTAACCTTTTCGAGTGAACAATCCTATCTTATCCTTGGGGTTTGAGCGTGTTATGCCGGCCAGAAATAAGTGCGGTCGGGAAGATGAGCGTATCGTTCAGGGAAATGTGTAAATACCTAACGGGGAGGGGGGGGGGTTATAGGTTAGAGCTCGAACTGAGAATCTTAGGCTGGCCAGAGGCTGGACAGAGATATCTCTGTCAACATGAAGTTCTAAGACTGTCGACAGACTGTCCAGTTATTAGGCTCTGACCTATACCCCCCCTGGCCCCCGTAGGTACTTTGCAGGGTCTCTTAGACAACAACAGTATGACAGAGTTGATGAGTAAGAAAGAGAGGCTGGGATGTTTTTGCTGGGGTCGCGGAGAGAGACGACCGTGGCAAATTTATCATGTCCCTTTCGGCCTTCAGTACGTGGGTAGGTACTTTCTGCATCGTAGGATTTATGTACCGAAAACCAGGAGAGAAGGGCGTGGGATTAAGGGGTGTACGTTGTATTGTGTGCGCCCCACTGTACCTGTTTATTCTCCACCCCTTGGAGTGGTTCCTTAGTGTTGTACTGTGCCATATCTCTTGGCAAACCAACTCGCTGACGACAGAGGTATCTCCACTCCTTCAGTTCACCACAACATGGAATACAGGTACATACCTGTCCCATACTCCCCCAGACCCAGGAGGCGAAAGAACGTCAAAAAAGAAGGGAAAACACCGCGCTTACCTGGTTATTATGGAGATATTCAGGGTAGACGTCCCGGGTACTGGAACGGCTAACGGCCCTTGGCGGTAGCGTTGTAAAGCAGGCCGATGATATAAGGCCTCTCTCCCTTTCCTCCTCCCCGCTTCCTGGCAGGAAATTCGTCTTCATATTATTTCTGCACTTTGCTTGGACTGAATTGAATAATTCGTCTATTTCACACTGCCTCACCAAAGTGCAACATACCTTCCTCAGTTACTCTCGACCTACTCTCGACCTACGCCAATATGAGTCTCCAAAGCCCTCCCGAGAAGCCTTATCGGGGCTCCCATAGAGCTTCCTCCACCGGTAGCTTTATGGAAGAGATCACGGTTGCCCGTAAGGAGCTCGATGCCTTGGCCATTGACTCAACACCAGACTCGTCTTCGCCACCTTCCCTGACCGGTAGCCCTGTTGCTGGCATGTCTCCTGCGACCCCGGCCCTAGACACGCTAGTAGCAGATGGGTTTGCCTTTGCCTTCGACATTGACGGCGTCCTGGTGCGAGGCGGGCGTGCCATTCCAGAGGCAGTCGAGGCCATGCGGTACCTTAACGGAGAGAACGAATATGGGCTCCGAATGTAAGCATTGGACTTTCCCATACCCTCCACGGACCACCGCCCCCCCTCTCTACCACGAGTGATTTGTTAACATTTCCTAGTCCTTACATCTTCCTCACCAATGGAGGCGGAAAGACAGAAGAGGAACGCTGTGCGGATCTGTCGGGCCAGATGCAGATCGACATTTCCCCTGCCCAGTTCATTTGCGGTCACACTCCCATGAGGGAGATGGCCGAGCGCTTCCGTACCGTCTTGGTCGTCGGCGGCGAAGGCGAGAAATGCCGCCAGGTAGCTGAGGGTTACGGCTTCCGCGACGTCATCACGCCAGGCGACATCATCAAACACAACAGTGCCACCACTCCGTTCCGGAAGCTAACAGACACCGAGTTCTTCAACTCGCGCGAGCGTGACTTCGGTAACGTCACCATCGAGGCCATCTTCGTCTTCGCCGACTCGCGGGACTGGGCCGGCGACATCCAGATCATGTTGGACATCGCCATGTCCAAGGGCGGCCGCCTGGGCACTCTGTCGGAGACGCTGGACGAGGGCCCGCCCATTTACTTCTCGCACAACGACGTCGTCTGGTCCGCTGCCCACGACAACGTCCGCCTCGGCATGGGTGCCCTGCGCCGCATGCTGGAGGTGATCTTCAAGGACGTCACCAAGAAGAAGGGCGTCCTGCACACGCACGCCTTTGGCAAGCCACAAGTGAGCACCTTCGAGTTCGCGACACGTCTCCTCCAGCGATGGCGCCGCCAGCAGCACGGCTTCAACGCCCCGCCCGAGACGGTCTACTTCGTTGGAGACACCCCCGAGAGTGACATCCGCGGTACCAATGCCTACAACGAACAATCCGAGAACGACTGGTACAGCATACTAGTCAAGACGGGCGTGTATCAGGAAGGCACGGAGCCTGCGTACAAACCAAGGGTCACTGTCAACAACGTGCTCGACGCCGTCAGGTACGGCCTTCAGCGAGAGATGCGCAAGCGGGTTGTCCATTCTTTCCGCAAGGACGTGCTAGGAGAAGAGGCCTGCCTCGAAGCTCTCAACGGAAAGGACAGCGCGGTTCTGACCCCTCTAGAAGAGCGCGCTTCTCCCATCTTGGGTTGAGCGCCTTTCAGGGGTACGGGGCGTTCCGCATAAGCCGCGTGCTTTGATTCTTACCTTTTCCTATCTCTGCAGCATTTTGGAAATTGGCTCTGGTTGAACGCATTACGAAAAGCGATTCGATGGTTTCGTGTTCCTACATTTCTTTTTTTTCTTCTTCTTTTTTCTTCTTCTTTTTTTCTTCTTCTTTTTTTCTTCTTCTTTTTTTCTTCTTTTCCACCCAACACTTGGTTGGATCCTCTCGTTTGTATCGGTACAGGTAACATGGGGATACTGGGATTGGGATACCAAGGCGCCATCAGATTGATGAAGCTATGAATGAGCATTGGGATTAAAGGTCAATTTTCGGCATGTCAAATTCGGGTAATGGCTCTGAAGCCTTCCTGATATCGTCCTTCGCAAAGAAGGAAAGATTCGAGAGACAAGACGATAGACGTTGTGGGGGCGTAAGGCGCCAGCAGTCAGCTTAAGATTGTGGTTAATATAGATATTGAACATTGCTGTTAATACCTATAGCTTCTTCTATTTGCGAGTATTTCTTCCCGTGCGGAAGAATAGTCGCACGAGATCAGATCGTTAAGCCCCATTGTTGTCGAAACAAATACGCCATGCACAGTCGATTGAATCTGGATAGGCGCTTTATTTAATGGCTACTTGGCCCGGATGTTTACTTGGGCTGTCGCATATCCAGCCAGTTGTGCCAATAATTACCTCGCAAAGCCATCAGCTCGCCGACAGAGGGATATATATATATATATATATACGCAACGGGGAAGAACCGGGGCCATGTCGGCCCCGCAGCGGCACCTCTCCACCCAAGGAAGTGTATAGAGGTTTTCCCCGGGTTTTACCCGGGTTTTCCCCTCTATAGCCACCCGAGAAGGACCGCGTAGCCTAGGAAGGCTCCTGTAGATTAGTCAGGATAGCGGAGTAAGATTAATAATAATAATAATATATATATATATATATGACTTGAGGTAACCGGGGCTGCAGCACTGGTGTAGTCATATCACGGCATGGCGTATACCCTGACATAGGCAGGAACTCGTGCCGGAATATCATTGTCTACGCTCTTCCTCGGGCCTGAAAGTGAAGCCACCCCACTGACAGGAGGCAGCCCAACCAGCCGAGTCGACAGCTACCTGCCTTCTTTCTCGGTCGGCGAGGGCCTCACGAGCGCTCGCAGCAGGATGGAAGCGCTCAACATCCTCTCTGTCGACTCTCAGCCACCCCTTCCAGCTGGCAGTGACATGGGCAGTGCTGCCTCGTGTTGACGTCATGGCTGGTCCCGATGCAGTAGCGGAAGCAGATGGAGAAGCCGACAGGGAACCGATGACGATGGTCCCCCACCACTCGCGTCCGCGGCTCTCGTGTCGGCTGTACAGCATCTGGGCCTCGACACTCGCGACAAGCGCCTGGAGGTGGTCCGATCCGCAGCGAGGCGTGCGGTAGACGTGGACGTGGTGGAGGTCGTCGAGACGCGAGGAATATTGGGCTGTCAAGCATGTCGGGTCAAAGCGATTCTCCGTGTCAATGATGACGATGGCTTTGTTGCGCGGTGCGGCGATTAGCTTCGACACGAGGTTGTAGACGAGAGGCAGGTACCGGCCGGTCAGTTGTAGGGTAGCAGACTGTGTTGCGCGTAGATTCCGATCGAGCAAAGCATCGAGATCGGGATCCCCGTGCGACTTGAACCTCTGTGGACTCTCTTTGGTGGATGGCGCAGGGAAGGCGGACAGAACGCTCAAGTTTGTTCGTAGGGATGTGAGGACCTAGAGAAATAATTAATCAAAAGTTGCAACCTCCATCATTTGTCCTATGGCTACATCTCGGGGGTGTGGGTGAGTCGTTTTCGCCGTGATCCCGGTTAGAGGGGAGTGGGCGGTGGGGGAAGGCCGAGGGAGGCGGCAAAAAAGAAAAAAAGAAGAAAAAAGGTAATTAGATAACGACGTTCAGAAACACGACTGACCTCATCGAGACTACCCTCTTCCACCTCATTCAGCATCCGAGCACCCGTAACAATCGCCGTCGGCACAGCCATCATCAACCCATTGAACAACCGGATTTCTATGGCGAGGCAGTAAAAAACACCACAAGAAAAGTAGTGAAGAAAGTAGTGAGCCTGAGACCCGGAGGACCGAAGACTTATGTCTCCACCGTGCCTTGCTTTCCCGGTCTCGGAGCTCCCGCTTCACGTCCAGGCAGATGTCAAGGGCAGGAAACGCAAGCTTGAAGGTGGCGGGAACGTGGACCTGACTCGGTGCGAGCTGAAGGAGTTGACACAATACCGTTGTTTCGTCGATGACCCGGCACTACCCGGAAGCCCTGTGCGATGCTGGGCTGTCAATCGCTTCTTCCGCCAGTGCGTCGCAACCCCGTCTCTCCCACACCTGTCACACGTACCGTGTAGTTTATCCTGCTAACAGGGGATCACGGATCGCCCCATGTGTAGGTGCAGGGACAAAAAGGGCGTTTTTATGGTCGAGACGTCGGCGTGGGAAGGCTTGAAGGATAGATCGCAAGTGGACACGTGATGGCAGAAGGGGGATTGGAAGCATGCCATTTCATCAGTTGAGGCGCATTCCAACTCTCCAGGCGACAAACTATTAGCTCACGATGTTGTATATTCTGTCATACTGTCGTCTGCAGCTCTCTAATTTGAGCCAGCGCAAGCAGACTCACTTAAAGCTGAAAGCCATGGGTAACCAGGTCATGGCTACGGCATAATACCGACCAACTACTCCCTGGTCCCCAATGGCGCATCTTCAACGTGATGTGTAACAACTTCTCCATTGAGGAAGGTCGCACAAGAGGACGAAAATGAGCGCTTCGTTAATTCTCAACTATATCCCAGGTTTCTCCCATCACTTCCCTGGGCCAAGTCACATCGGACAAAAGAGACGGAAGCAGCAGAAGTCCTGGACCCATATTGCACACAGTTTTGGTACAAACCGGCTGCCAGTTGGACCAGCGCAGTTCACGCTTTCAATTCTTCGTCTAAGTGTTCGGAATCCTCCCACCGCAGTCCCGTCCAAACATCTACCCAACCAACCCTTCGATAATTGTTCTCCCCTTCGCCAGTTCAGTCCCCGAAATCAAAGTAGGCGCCTCTCTTACGCCTGGACGGCACGCTGCTCTGCCTTCTCCTGCTCTAGCTTGGCGTAGTAGTTGTCTCGAGCGTTTGTGCGGCGCATGTGGAAGCCGTACCTACGGTGCATTCGTGAATTAGCATGACGTATTTCAACTCTCGGTACGCTGCGTTGGCTGATGCAAAACGCGGCCCAGCCGCTCCGCCATTCTTCTCTTCGCAATAATTATCGGCGCAGGATGGTGTCGTACCAGAACGCATTAGCCATGCCGAAGCCAACACCTAGTGTGATATCTCACGTTAGTCACCGGTTCCGAATATATGAAGAGTAGGGAATTGGAGACAGATGGAACAAAGCAAAGCAGCAAATTGACTGGAGTTCGCTATAAACATACCTAGACCAATTCCGAGGTCCAGAATGAGGTTTCGCCGGAGCATCTGCCGAGGATATGAGTGACCATCCGCGACGGATGCAAAGCACCCAATTGGGTGCCCGACTGGGACTGAGGGAGAGTTGTACGTACACCCGTGATGGGCTTGATAGAGGACGCGCTGGCCATTGTGATCGGGATGTCGTTGCGAGTTGCGCGGGAGGTTGAGAGGTGGATTGTTGGACGGGGTTTGAACTTGGTGGTGGTGGTCGGATTGGTTCGGCAAGAAAGCGAGAGAATTGATGGGACCCAGCTCTCTGTCGATGGGAATGGAATGGCCTGACGATTGTTCCGTGAAAACAGTCACGTGATATATCGTAAGCGTCCGGTAAAACTTCGGCTGGCAGTCTCTCAGGGATTAACCAACCAAAGTCGGTCGCTCCTTCTACCTTATCCTATGTATCCGTACGAATGAGTTCTACACGTTCTTAATTTTCTCACGGAAAGCTTCATGAAGTTGCTGTGCCAGGTGTTGGGCGACCACTTGTCACGATGAGCGCCCACATACCGTCTAGGAGAATAGCGTTAGTCGGTAAGTGGTCTTCGATCACGTCTGCCGTGACTTCTACACCACGGCCGATTCTAGGTTCAATGCCCACATTAACAACAACGACTTTTCTCAGCTCCGTCGGCTCTGTACACTCTCGCGTCCTCAAACTCGTTGGCTACCTCGGTTCCGCTCGTCCAGAGTCAGCGTCGCACGAAATGGTCCATCTCTAACTGGTTCAACCGCGGCTCGAATACTCGCCAGCCAGAATCCAGCGGTCAAGACCTCGACGACCCCAAAGTCCGCGCCCGTGTCATCGCCCAGCAACAGCAGAGCAAAGCACCCTCTCTTTCCGACTCGATTTTCGAAGACGAAGTGAAAGCGGCCACGGGCGGACGCGATGCAAAAGGCGCCGCACAAGCACGCCAACCGAAGGTCGCGCCCCCCGAGGCCGCTGCCTGGCGTATCGATCCGGACCCGCGCGCCCGGACCCGGTGGGAGAGGAAGAAAGTCATCCAGATGGTTCGCCAACGCACGGCCGCCGAAGAACCTTCTGCGTATGCGAGGCGGATGGAGCGCATTGCGGCCACCGAAAAAGAGCTGCTGCACAGGAGCGCGTTCCTGGAGACCAGCGTGAAGAAGCTGGTGATGCTCGCAAGGCAGATCCAAGGCAAGACACTGGAAGAGGCCCTTGTGCAAATGCGGTTCTCGAAGAAGAAGATGGCGGCCGAGGTCAAGTTCCACCTCGAGGAGGCCCGCGATCTAGCTGTCGTGAGCCGTGGCATGGGCCTGGGTAAGGTCAACAAGGACGCGACCCCCACGCCCGTCAAGATTCAAACCAAGGACGGGGAGACGATCAAGGTGGACGACCCATCGGGGCTCTATGTTGCACAGGCTTGGGTGAACAAGGGGCCTATTCGCTTCCGGCGTATCGAGTACAAAGCCCGCGCCAGGACGGGACTCATTCTCAGACCATCGACGGGTGCGTATAAGCTTGTCCTGATATCATGACATTGTCAAACGATCCAAGCTGACCATCAAAACCAGGCATTTCCGTCGTCCTCAAGGAGGAACGAACACGGATACGGGAGCACAATGAGCAGGTAGCCAAGGAGGCTAAGCGGAAGCCATGGGTCCATTTGCCGAATCGGCCGGTTACTGCACAGAGACCGTACTATTCGTGGTAGGAGTGCAAGACGGTCATTCCCACTTCCATTGCTAAGGAACCTTACCTTACAAACACCATGTACACGACATTGTAGACTACCGTACCTTACCTAGTAGGTAAGGTACCTTAACTTGCCTTACCTTAACCTCACATGTACACTATCGTGGCCGTCCTCAGAACGGGTAGAAGAATAGGCTGCCACGCATTGACTTTATCGACCTCTATGTTTTGTTTCCAGTTGCTTCATTTGCCAGTGTGCTCTGGACCATCTACCTGTTCTCCGTATCTCCGTATTAGGGACCTCAGTCTTCCTAAAAGGCGAATCTAGACGTCGAGTGAGATAATATTACTAGTACAGCAGCCAAAAATAGGTAGCCTATTTCCTATACTTCTACTATAAGTATATCTATCGTTAATATTATGTTATATTTGGTTATAATCTTTGATAATACTATTTATTAGAGGAATTCAATATAACATAAGACGAGATCTAAAAGGACTTAATTTTCTTACACCTGCGAGATGAGTCAAAGGAGTACTGATCCGGTGCTTTCGTGGTGTAAGGTACCTTGTGTACTCCGTTGTTATACGTACTCCCGTAGATCCTTCCCCAAATGCTTCCCTGAATCGATCAGTCCAGACTGGGACAGATTACTATGATTACATAATACGTCTTAGTTGAACCTAATAGCCAAAGGCACGACTTCCCCGTATCAACACCAACGGCCGCATCTCGCCCTTTCCTCTGTTGGAGCTATCGTCCCCGGGTTCGATCGAGCGCACACTCGACCGTCGCACTATCCCAACCCCGAGTCGTCGGGCGCACTTTCCTGTGTGCTGCAAGCACCCACTGTTACCTGTTACCTCGCCTTCGCTTTCCTCTAAGGTAGCCTAGATTTCCCGTGGCTTGGCGCGATAGAGAGAATCTTGCCAAGGCGATCGTCTCCTCCTCAGCCCTACCCTCGTCATCCCATGGTTCACCTCCCTCCAGCGCGACAGATTCGTCATCATCATGGCGCCCTCTCTTCCCGTCGGCGAAGACAGGTGGGTAGACTATGTAGCTGAACATAGTCGTGGCGCCACCGACCTCGAGAAGCGCGTCCAAGTCATCGAGCTCTACAAACTCGCCGTCGATGCCGAGCCCAACAGCCTCAAGGTCTGGCGAGCCTACTGCGAATACTTCTGGTCACTCCACGTAGACAGCCTCTCGGCCGACGTCGGCTGGCCCGAAGAGGAGCAGATCATGGGCCGCGACATTTTCTCCCTCAATGCCGCCCTCAGCCTGTGGCAACAAGGCTACGAGGCTATCCAGTACCGCATCAGTGACAGCCACGAGCTGTGGGACCGCTGGATATCGCTCGAGCGCGGTTTGCTCGACAGGACCCGCACCTCCGAAGGCGTCCGGCGCATTACGCACCTCTACACCGATCGCCTTCAGACCCCCCACGTTACGCATGAGGACACGGCCCAGGCTTTTTCTAGCTTCCTCTCGACATACAACCAGGCGGCTTGGGAATCGACCATGCAGGCGGTGACCGCCCAATCCCAGGAGGCCAAACAGCTCACCAGCGACCGTGACATGTTCGAGCTCCGACTTGGCAAGACCGCCCGCGACGGGAAGGACGACGAGTACCGCAGCACGCTGCGAGAATACCTCGAATGGGAAGCGTGCCAGAGCAAGAGAAGCAAGAGACATGTCGAGGCCACGGGGGAGCTGTGCCGAGGCCTCTACGCCCGAGCCTTAACCGGGGTGTTTGCGTTCGACGAAGCCGTCTGGACCGAGTGCATCAGGTTCCTAGCCACGTCGGGCACTTTCGCGCAGGCGCCTCACGCCATGTTGGACGTCATCCGAAGAGCCGTGGATCACTGTCCTTGGTCGGGCGCTCTTTGGTCCCGCTACATACTCAGTGCCGAGGAGGCCAAGTTGCCCTTCCACGACATTGAGCAGATCAAGCACAAGGCGACAAGCCATCCCGACCTCTATAAGAACGGCATGACTGGTTTGCTCGACATGTACGCCGGCTGGTGCGGGTTTCTCAAGAGGACGGCCATGGATATCAATGCCTCGGATGAGGCAGTCGACATTGCGGACATGGGCCTCCGCGCCGCGATCGAGTTTGTGGACCAAGCGAAGCATCGCTACGGCGACGGCTACCGAGGTGATCCCGCTTTCCGCCTGGAGCGCATTTACATCCAATACTTGACAGACAAGAAGGGCTGTCTCGACGACGCGAGACATCAATGGCATAAGCTGGCCGAAAAGCAGCTCTACGCTGACAGCTACGACTTTTGGATGCACTATTACATGTGGGAGATGATGGTCTTCGCGTCAAACGGGAAGGATCGCAGCCCCACGCCGTCCACTGTGGCAGTCGGATTGCGGGTTCCTTCCGTAGCCACGGCTGTCCTTGGTCGGGCGATCAAGAGGAAGACCCTGGACTGGCCCGAGAAGGTCATGGAGGTGTACGTGCAGCACTGCAACGACTACGAGCTTCCCAGCACTCTCCGCAGCGCCATGGACAGCGTGGCAGAACTTCAAAAGGAAGTGGGAAAACGCCGCGAGCTAGAGGCCGCCCAGGCCGCCGAGCAGTACGCCGCTGCGCAGGCACAACAGCAGCAGGCAGCGCTGGCCGCGACGGCGGCCGCTGCCGATTCATCCTCGGGTGCTAAGCGCAAGTGGGAGGACGATGCCGAGGATCAGGCGACATCCACAACAGCAGCAAACAAGCGGCAGAGAGGGAGCAACGAGGAAACGTCTCCGGATCTGCAACAGCGACAGCGACTAAAGCGAGATCGGGAGAACACTTCGGTTTTAGTCTCCAAGGTTCCATCCGGGGTGACGCAGACCAAGATTCGACAGTATTTCAAGGAATATGGCCACATCAACAGCCTGATTGCCGCGCCCGACAAGCAGGGAGACACGCAGACGATCCTAATAGAATTCCGGAGCCCGGACGAGGCCCAGTCAGCTTTGCTCCGGGATGGCAAGTATCTCGGGGATGCACAGATTAGCGTGGCGCCCGGCACAGACCTGACCATCTACGCAACTAATTATCCGCCGACTGCCGGCCCAGACTACCTTCGCAAGCTGTTTGAAGACTGCGGGGAGATGCTGAGCATCCGAATGCCCAGCTTAAAGGGAAACGTTCGCCGGCGGTTCAGCTACATCACGTTTCGGGACCGAGAGGCCTCCACGAAAGCGACCAAGAAGGATGGAATGATGCTGGACGGGCGGTATAAGCTTACAGCAGCTTTCTCGGACCCATCGCGAGCCAAGAAGCGAGAGGGTGCCGTAGAGGAAGGGCGGGAGGTCCGAGTCACTAACCTTGATCCATCGGCCACCGAAGACGATGCCAAGGAGGTCTTTTCCAAATACGGCACAGTCCATCGCGTCACCATTCCTCGGAACAAAGCGGGCAGAAATCACGGCACGGCGTACGTCGAGCTGGGAACCAAGGAGGAGGCTACGAAGGCCGCCGAGGAGCTTGACAAGACAAAATATCGCGGCTCTATTTTGACGGTGGAGATCTCGGCTCCGAAGCATTCCAAGCCAACAGCTACCCTGTCAGATGCACCGAGAGACTCTCCCGCCCGTTCGTTGAGTGCCCAAGAGAGCCGCGAGGAGGCCGCGGGCGACGATGGTGACGCTGCTGCTGCTAGCCGCCACCAGCCGAATGCGCCATCACAGGAAGAAATCAAAGCGAGGAGTATCGCGTTGCTGGATATTCCGGACACGGTCAACGACGCGCGCATCCGAGACATCGTCCAGCGGCTGGGGGGGTTCAAGAGCCTGGTGCTGCGGCCCAGCCACGGTTCGGCCAAGATCGAATTCGAGGACGCGGCCAGCGCGGGTCGGGCCGCACTGCAGCTGGACGGGTACGATCTCGACGGTCGCAGGCTGCGCACGGGCGGCGTGGAGGACCTCAAGTTCGCCAGGGAGGAGTTTCGGACGGACAAGATTGTGTATGGCGTGGGTGCGAGGAAGCAAGGGGACAAGAAGACGACGTCGGCGACGCAAAGGAATGCTACTACTCTGGCACCTCCCCCGAGCGTGAGAAGACCTGTCTTGGGCAGAGGTGGTGGTGGCGGTGGTCCCAGACGGGGCCTCGGTTTCCTTCCGAAGAAGAATCCCGATGCCCCTCTGGGCGCGAAGGCCAATGGCACCGGGTCGGAAGAAGGGAAGCCGGCGAAGAAGACTAATGCGGAGTTCAGGACCATGTTTCTGAAGGGCAACGCGGCCCCGGCTGGTCAACAGAGCAAGGACGATGCGGAGGATGCCCAACGTTAGCGCTTCAGGGCACTTTTCTGCCGTGGGCTTGTACGAATATTACCTTGCCTTGCATTGTGTCTCATTACCAGACTAATTAATAGCATTTGAGTCGGGGGGGGGGGGGGGAGGGGGCAAACTGTATCTATCTCACCCAGTTAACCACCTGGTGACTCGCTTTTTCGAGTATTCTCCTGTCTTTTCTGCGTGCTTTGTTACCGAAGGAATCGGCTTTTCCCATTCATAGGAGAAGGGGAGGCTGAGCCTTCTCTGAAACTGCATGAGACTGAAGAACGGTTGCAGCAGTTCATGTTCGCAATATACCAGATAATCATTGACATCCCTCGCAAACGAAATCTACAGCCACGAAAGTTGGACATGGGGTCAGAAAAAGAGACAAGGCAGCTTGACAGCTGCGTCTACGAGGCTTCTATTTTTTTTCTTCTCGTTGTTGTCACGCCTTTGCTACAATGATCGGTTTGTTCTCCTTGTTCAGCTCCTGCGAGAAGACCTTTTGCCAGACTTCTAGCCAGCGCTCGTGTTGCGCAGTGGGCAATTTCCCGGGCTGCTTGAATGCGCGGGTGAGCAGCTCTCGAAGACGTGTACGAAGCACCTTGAGCACGAGCATGGTCTTCCAGTCTGGCAGGGCGAATCTGGCCTTGTTGCCGTCTAGGACGAGCACGCCGGCGAACATCTGCTCGGATAAATGATCAGTAGGGGGAGGGGGTGGGGGGATAACGAAGCATTGTGACAGCTGAACTCACATCGGCGCGTGCTTCGCCGCTCAGCAGAGCCACGGCAAAGGGATCCACGGCCGTCGTTTCGTGGGCGTGATAGACTCTGGAGCGTTTCTGCGTAAGCCAAGGCGCGTTCTGCAACCCAACTATATTCGAACAAGGGGAAAAGGGGGGGGAACTCACGTCTTGGCTTGCATGATATGGTAGTACGAAAGCCACTTGAGGTCGTTATGGCCCTTGTTGACAGAAGACGGGTGCAGGCTGATGGACTGGTTGTTGCCCACGTTCCGCAGGCCACGGCTCCCCGGCGCATCCCGCACCAGCAACTTGGGGTAGAAGCTCCACGAGATGACCGCCGTGGTGACGGCATCGTTCTCGCTGTGCAGGTTGACCCGCTGCGGCACGTCGAAGAAGTGGTGCCGCCTTTGCGACTGGGACGAGTAGCGCATCCGGCGCAGCGTGCGTCGTTCCTCGTCCGTCAGAGACAGAAACCCGGAGTCGGCCACGGACACCAGTAATTGGCCCTTCAGATCCTCGATATTGGACAGGGTCGGCGGGCTGAGGAAGTTCTTCCTGCAGAACTGGAATTCGCTCCCGCCAGAGCCGTTCGCGGATTGGCACACGCGCTTCCAGGCAAGATAGGCGTTATACACCGTCAGGAGGTCCGAGTCGCCGCGACGGAATGCCTTGCGTGCCAGGTCGGCCTGGGCACGCTGTCCGAAGGGTGCCGAAAAGGGCGACTTGGACGATAGGATGGCGGCGATGGTGATGGCGGCGTCCAAGCATTTGAAAACGGTGCCCATGAGGACGAGCTTGCCGAGGAAGACGTCCAAGGGCAAGCGAGCCAACTGGAGACCGAGAGGCGTCAGTTCTTCGGAAGACGTCAGGGCGCGGACGTCGATAAGGGCATCGACTGCTCGGCGGATGTTCTTGGCCGAGGGCGGATCCAGAGCCTCGCCCAGGGTCTCCTCGATGCCGCCGATTTTGCACGTCTTGACCCGGATGGCCAGGTCCTGGAGCGAGAGACGGAGCATCTCGGGCGTCTGCTGGTCGTTCATGAGGAAATCGTGCCGGTGCTTGGTGAAGAGGTGGAAGCAAAGCCCCTCCTGCACTCGACCGGCACGACCGCGTCGCTGTTTCGCGTTCGCCCTCGAAATAAAGGCGTCGAGGAGCCGGGAGAGCTGCCTCCGTTCGTCGAACCTCATCTCCCGGTGCTTGCCGGTGTCGATGACGCAGGTCACGTCTGGGATGGTGATGCCCGTCTCGGCGATGTTGGTGGCCAGGACCAGTTTGCGGGTTCCCGGCGGAGGCACGAGGAACGCGGCCTCCTGGTCCTCGGTTGCGATGCTGGAGTGGAGGAGATAGATGAGCCAGTTCTGGGAAAACGACGGGTGGCCTGAAAGCAGGTCGTTCAGGGTTCGCATTTCCGCAATGCCCGGCAAAAACACCAAGACGGCTTTGCTGAACGGGCTATAATCCGGGTCCGAGGCCACCTTGTCGATCAATTGGACGATGAGGTCGAAGTCTATCCGGTACTCGTCAAACTGGGCGAGTGTGTTCCTTGTCTTGGCCGAGTACTGGGCCAGGGCGCCGCCTCCGGAGGCGGAGGTTGTCGTGCTGGGGCCTTCGCTTTCGGGTTCGAGATCGTCGTCGAGGTCGACTATCTTCTCCCGTGGCGTCTGGCCGGGGCTGTAGCCGGTGAGTTCGACGGCATCTTCCAAGTAGCGCACGGTGACAGGAAAAGTGCGGCCCGGGACAGTTATGATAGGCGCGCCGCCGAAGTAGTTGGAAAACCGCTCGGCATCGACTGTAGCCGACATGAGGACGACCTTGAGATCTTTCCGCCGCAGCATGAGCTTCTTGAGGACGACGAGGAGAAAGTCGCTGTCAATGGACCGCTCGTGCACCTCGTCAAGAACCACATGCGTGATATCTTGGAGATCATTGGATCCTTCCAACATCCGCATGACGACTCCGGTGGTGGCATAGACCAGCCTCGTCTCCTTGGACGTGTTGGATTCCAGCCGGATCGAGTAGCCGACGAGTGACCTCGGGGTTCCCAGGTCGTTCCGGCCTTCGCCCAGTTCCTGGCTCACTCGGCGCGCGAGGGAGATGGCGGAAATCCTCCGCGGTTCCGTGCAGAAGATCTTACAGGGCTTCCCCTGGGAGAGCTGATGCTCCAAGAGGAATGACGGGACCTGGGTACTCTTGCCGCACCCCGTCTCGCCGCAGATGATGACGACCTGTTCTCGATCAACGGTGTCCATGACCTGTTGCCGAGACTGCCACATGGGAAGCTGCATCCGGCCCGGGAGCATGGCCTGATACGCCTGAGTGGATGCCTTTTGGGACCAGATCCGTCGATAGAGCTCGTGGGCTCCATCGGCGCGTGCTGCTGCTGCGGCTTCTTGGGACCCGTGGCGGTTCGTGTCGTTGAGATTACGGGCCGATCCACGGCCGCGAAAGGCGGACTGCAGAATAACGCCGTCCTCCAACTCCTGGTCCTGCCTCTGTCGCACCAGGGACCGTAGCTCCCTGACGACGTCTCTGTCCTCGGCGTCCAAGGCGCTTTTCCTGCCGTCGGCAAGCTCCGTCCAGAGCTCGCGCCAGACGGGGGGTAGGCGCATCCCGACCTTCTCCTCCTTTGGCGAGGTTCCAAAGATGTGAAACAAGGCCCATGTCGCGACGTAGGCCTCCGACTGCTTCTTGTCGGGGGCGGCGACGGACTCCATGGAGAAATTGAAGCTGTAGGGGGACAGAGCCGTATACACGTTGGGATCCACGGCCGAGGGGGGGAGGTCCTGGGCCTTGTCCCAGGATATGTGTAGTTGATGGCGAACGGCAAATGGGGTGTCGGAGATGGGGGTGTACCTCAGTTTGACGGAGGAATCCCTTCAAACAAGTCAGCGAAAAAAAATGTGACGGGGGGGGATGGAAGGGACAAAGACACACACCTCGACCGACAAGCTTCTTCCAGGGCCCTCACCGGACTGATGCCAGCCCATTTGCCAAAGTCTCGAATGGTAATCTTGACGCCGTCGCTCCCGTTCATCACCAAGCTCGTCGCCCCCGTCTCCTTGTCTACCTCTTGGGTGGGCAGGTCGTTGAAGAGGCCGGCAATACCCCCACCGTCATCCTCTTCCTCGCCCTGCGCAAGGATCTCCGCGGCTATGCGTTCGGCTTCCTCGTTCACCTCGCCCCCGTCGCCCCCGGACACGTCACCGGGGTCTTCGGTCTGTTCCAATGGTTCCGCCGAGTCGGTTTGTTTCTGGGTCGCGGCTGTCTTTTCTTTTCCTCGCCGCCTTCTCTCGACTGCCAGTTCCTTCTCCAACGCAGGTCGCTTTGCCCTCCACTGGTGTTCGGCGAGGGGGTGGTCGAAGAGGACGTCCTTTTCGATCCGTTCCAGTTTAGCTCGGAGCTTCGCGGCCTCTTCGTCGTCACGTTCTTCGTCTTGCTCTGTCGCTTGCCTTTTGGTTTCTTGGCGGCTGCGATCCAGTTTGAAGAGTTTCTCTTTGGCGTCCAGGTAGGTGGGGATGAGGTCGTCCGGCTCTATGTCACTGCTGTATGTGATTGCTGGCTTCTTGTTGGGGGCCGGAGACTGTTCTGAGACTCGGGTCCCAGGTTGTCCACGGAGAGTCGGTTCGATGTTCCCGGGCGTTACCGTGCCAGATGGTGCCGGGCTATCTATGGGCGTGTCTTTTGATGATACCGTTTGTTAGCAATTGGACCCTACCTAGGAAATGAATGATGATGCAATGGATCAGCACGGCGAGCAAGACGTCTGCGCCCCTCTTACCTGTTGGTTTCGGGTTGGGCTTGCTCTGGGTCTCGTATTTGGGCAACTCGTCGAGGGAGGATTCTATGGCCAACCAGTCCATTGCCTCATCCAAACCCCATAGACCGTCCTTGACCGAGGTGGGAATCGTGGGTGAAATGTCGAGGATGTGACGCACGACGGCTTGCACGCGGTCACTGGGAAAGCCGGCGGCATCAAGGGTCTGCTTGAGGGTCCAGAGCCGAATAACAATGTCTTCCTCGGGAAGCATCCTGCCGTTCCCGGACTTTTCTGACGAAATGCTCGACGAGGAAAAGCGACACTCGCCCTGGACAAGATCGAGAATATGGCTCATCAGCTCGGGCGGGAGCCACCGGCGGATGTTCAGGGATTCGGCCTGGCCTCGGAGGAGGCGGCGGTCGGTTTCGAGCCGCGACCGTTGTCGGGCGGCATCCCGCCTGACTTTCGGGCCGTATTTCTCGACCAGAAGCTGCAGGTCGGACTCTTCCAGTTGTCGCGCGAATTCGTCGCCGGTCAGGGCTTTAGCATTCCCATTCCCGTTCCCGTTCCCGTTCGTGTCTCCTTCGGTCAGGCTGGAGGTGGAGAACGGACCGCCGGCAGGGGGAGCAGCCGAAGAAGCGGCGGATTTCGCGGCGGCCACGGGTGTGTTCGACGAGCTCTCTGCATCGTTTTCGGCTCCTTCAACGGTCTCGGGGCGTGCCTTGGATGCGATGGAGGTGGTCGCGAAGCCTCTAGCCGGGTTGGCGGCGGGCTTCTTTTTCTTTTTGGCGCCAGCCATAGCCGAGTAAGGGGAGTGTTGCAACAGCTAAGGAGTACGGTAAAGGTAGCGATGTGGGTGGCAGGAGTTTGGATTTCGTTTCTGCGTTGTTCGTACTGGGGTACTTTGTAAAGACGCTTGTGGCTGCAACGTCACTGGATAGGTACCTAGGCAGTCAGGCACCTAAGGTACCTACTGACGAGGTCAATGGAGTGACAGCAATGCCCTTAGTACTCGCGCAGTACAAGTAGGTACAGATACATCGTAGTCAAACGCTGTTGAAGTGCCAAACTAAGGTACCTACCTTAGTGGAAGACGCTAGCCATAGAGGCCGAGCGATATAGCCAACAGGTTGGAAAAAGGTCGCGACAAGTAAAATAAATGAAAAAAGAGGAAAAAAAGAGAAGAAAAAAAGAGAAGAAAAAAAGACCCAAAGAGCCGCGGCAGCAATGGAAAACGGAAAAGAAATGATCATAACAAAGACTCCATGTTCTTTTGGCTCCTCTGCCCCAACATGATATGATCGTCCCTTTTCAATTTTTCTGTTGGTCCTCGGCGATTTCGTCACCAGTGAAGCAACAGCACCAGTCCTTGTCTGCAGGTGGGGTTGGCCTGTGGATATTCCGTCTCTACCCGTAGGAAATGAAAGTCTGAGGAGTAATAAACCAAAAGAAAAAGAAATGTAAAAAGAAATCTCTCCGACGGGGAATTGAACCCCGGTCTCCAGCGTGACAAGCTGGCATACTAGCCACTATACGATCGGAGACTAAGCTTTAAGCTAATTGATGGAAATACGAGTCGGTACCCAGCCTTATATGGTCACGAGTAGCACTAGCTAGTTTGATGCTGACTAAGATAGGTATAGCTTTCCAATCAGCCTCGAGGTCCTCCCCTGCCTTCACCACCAAAGAGATTCCATGATAACTGTCTCTGGAACCATTGCAGATTACATTCCATCAATCCCTTCTTCCTCGGCTCCAACCAAACTCCAAACCCCAAACCACACCATAATTCTATAAAGACCTCCACGATATTTTGACCTTGAAGCTCAGAATAAACCATCTCACTCCAACAGCCAAGCCAGACTTGCCGCCTCGCATCGCCTCCGACTCCTGCCCGTACCCGTATAACCACCATCGCGACGAACTTCACAACCCTTATAGCAGAAAAACGAAAGGGGAATTGGGCTGAGCATGCTCCCGGCTACCAGCTTTCCTCGTTCTTCGCGGATATGCTCATGATTTTCCTCGGTTGCCTTCCCACTCCCACCCATCGGACCGCATGCAGTCGCACGCAGCCATGGACCCGCGATTTGTCGCTCGGATCGAAGATGAAAAGCGTCGCATAATCGACAGCTGCTTCAGCAAGAAGGACGTAGATAACTCCTGTGCGTCTCTCCTCCCTCTCCCTCTCCCTCTCCCCATCTCCACCCCATCTCCATCTCGCTTGTCCGAAATCTCCCCCCCCCCCTTCTCCTCCCTCTGCCTCCCCTAACCCGCCTCTTTTTCGCAGTTCTCGAGACCTACATCAGCCATGTCCGCATCACCGAATTCTCCTCCCATCAGAGCGTCCCTCCGCCTCCGCAAGCCCGGGTCCCCGAATCAGAAAAACGCCGAGTCATCATCCTCAGCGTCCGAAAGACGGGCCGTGTGCATATGCACAAGTCCAAGGAGAACGCCAATGGCACCTTCTCCATAGGAAAGACATGGCACCTCGCCGACTTGACCGCCATCGGCTCCTTCACCGGACCCCCGACCAGTGCCGCCATGCGGGAGAGGGCTGGCGACACGGGCTTCACCGTCACCATCGGCAAGACCTACTTCTGGGACGCCCAGTCCGAAAAGCAGAAGAGGCACTTCATCGCCACCCTGATCAAGGTCTACGGCAGATATACCCAAGGCCATCTCCCCGACCTCGTAGGCTTCGACCCCAGGGAGCTCGACTTGGTTATCGGTTCCCGCCGCCCGCCGCCCCAGCAGCGGCCCCCTATGCCCAAGTCTGTGCCTACGCCTCTGCCTATACCACCGAACCCTTCTGCCCCTCCGTCTGGTCCTCCCTCTGCTCCTCCCTCTGGTCCTCTGCCACAGCAGCCCGTCGCACGCCCCCACATGCCCGAACCCTCTCAGAGCTCGCTCAGCAACCTGTCCGTCTCCTCCTCGGCCAATGCATCCTCCACGTACCCATCGCTACCCTCCCCCTCACCCGGAAGACGACCGCCTCCGCCGAGGCAGAATGGCGGTGGCTCGCCTGCCGGGAGCTTGGACTCGTCCCGGTCGCAGCCGCAGCCGCAAAACGCGAGCCAATTAGCATCCATAAGGCGGCTGGCCGGCGGGAACAAGAGCCAGGATTCAGTGGCTGCCTCCCTTGCCACCACCCGAAGCGATGACGCCTCCAGCCTACCACCGAGATCGAGAAACGGCGTGCCAGGTCCTGGCGCCTTTGGTCGTTTCGAAACCCCGGATAGTGTCCCGTCTTCCGCGCAACCACCCCAACCACCCCAACTGCCACAGCAGCCACAGCAGCCCAGCCTGCCGCCGCCGCCGCCAGACGAGAGGGAAAGGCCGCCAGAGAGGAGGAGGCCGCCTATGGATCCCTTGCGACCCCAGGCCTCCTTCTCCGAAAGGGACCTGGTTCCGGCGCCTCTGATGAGTCCCGGTTTGCGCCGTGAACCAGTAGCACCTCCACCTAGGAGTCGGGATCGCGTCGCCCCCACCATCCGCTCCGTATCCCAACAGCGGTCCGAAGTGAGCTCTGCCAGGGACCGGCCCGTTACTCCGGCCTCTATTGCAGACCGGCCTGTTACGCCGGGGTCGTCAGCAGCAGCAGCAGCAGCAGCAGTAGTCATGCCAGATCCTACCCCCGCGTCACCCATGCCCGTCGTTGATGGGGCGGGCGACGTCAAAACGGCCCGCAACGGGTCTGTCTCGGCCGCATCATCAACAGCTGCACTCGTCCCTGCACCGACAGAACCTCCTGCCGAGCCAGCGCCATCACCATCACCATCATCACCCCCTCCAGAGCCATCGTCAGAGGAGAATCGCCCCGGTTTGGGGCCCATGATCAAGTCCAAGAAGTCCAAGGGAGAAATCGCCGGCACGTTCTGGAAGGCTGCCGCCGCTGTGAACGCCTTCAAGCCTCGTCCGGGCGGTGCAGGTGAAAAGCTGCGGCAGGTCCAGAGCAAGACCGGCGAAGAGGGCTCAGATGGCATTACGGGCGTTTTCAAGCCTCCCTCTCGGCCGAAAACCACCGAAGCAGATGCATCCCATCGGGCCGCAGACGCGACAACGACGATGCACAAGGGCTCGGACAGCACGCCCTCTCTGCCCAAAGTCCAAATCACCGTGCCCGATTCGAGTCGCCCTACGAGTCTGCAAGCTGCGGCCCAGGAAGTCAGACAACCCGCCAAGGACGTTACGGACGACGAAGCCAAGAACAACAGCAAGAGCGAGGCCAAAGAGGACAAAGAAGCGCCGCCCCGGAAACCCCTCATCGCCGGAAACGACGCCAAGTACTTGACATCTCTAGGCGTGGACGCTTCTATCCTTGACAATAGGAGCACCGAATTTACCAAATGGCTCGATTTCTTCGGTTGGGTCCCCGGCGAGCAGATGAGGTCTCGCCATTTGGATGAGATGAGGGTCGACGTCGACCGCGAGTTGAACGAGGCGCAGGCGGGAGGGTGGCTCGCTCGGTTCCGAGAGGATGACGAGCGCGTCGAGGCGATCAAGCGGGGGATCGATGTTGCCATTGCCGAGTGCGAGGAGGTCGATAATCTCTTGACTCTGTACAGCGTCGAGCTTGGGGTAAGTCCGGGTGCCGAAAACAACGGGTTGGCGTTGGTGTGTTTTGTGTTGCATGTACGTTTTTACTGATGATGACGACGACGGGGGTAGACTCTCTCCGAGGACATCGCCTACATCGAAGCCCAAGGCCAAGGTCTACAGGTCCAGACGGCCAACCAGAAGACGCTTAAGAAGGAATTGGAGTCTCTGCTGGAGACCACGACCATCACGTCCGACGATCTCGTCGCCCTCAAGACGGCACCGCTAGAATCCATCGCTGGCCTGGAAGACATCGAGGCGGCCCTCGTGACGCTCTACAAGGCCATGATCAAGATCGACCCGACGCTCGGCGGGGATCAGTCGAGGAGAAGCAACGAGCTCGGCATGGACACGCAGATGGAGATGGAGACGACGGGAGCGGAGCCGGACCAGAGCATGGGCTTGGGCTTGGGCTTGGACAACAGCGACTACGGCAAGATGCGCATCGTCCGAGAAAAGAAGGAGATGTACGTGAGGGAGAGCTCCCTGTTCGTGCGGCGCCTGGTCGAGTACATGGCACGGCAGTTCAACCAGGCCGCGACCGAGACGACGCGCGCCCAGAGCGAGGCCCTGTCGCGGAAAGCAGACGCCAAACACCACGACGCCGGGCGGGACGTGCTCTGGAAGTACAGCCCGCTGGTCCTCTACACGCGCGACGTCGACGCGAAGAACTGGGACCGTCTGCTCCAGCTCTACCAGGACTTCTTCGGCCCGGTCTACAAGCGCGAGTTCGAGCAGATCATGGCCGCCTGGAAGAAGAACGCGCGGAAAGTGACGGCCGACGACACGGCCGATCTCCTCTTCACGTCGCACGCCGAGCGGAAGGAGGAGGGCATCGCCACCACGGCCAGGAGGCTCACGGTCAAGCGCAGCCAGACGTTGGCCAAGACGCTGCGGACGCCGCTGGACGGCGGCAAGTCGTCGTCGAGCCCGAGGTCGAGCGAGAGCCTGAGCCTCCCGTACGAGGTGTTCGCGTCCGTGCTGGACGATGTCCTCCCTCTCGTGGCGATGGAGCAGAACTTTGTTGTCGATTTCTTCCACGCGTCGACGCTGGAGCAGGCGGACTTTCCCGACGCCGTGGCCGCCTTTAAGCCCCGCGATAGGATGGGCGGTGATTTGAGGAGGCATCGTCTTATGGAGCCGGATAGGGAGCTTGCGCGTCGAGTGGCCAAGGTGATGGAAGTCATGTTCTCCTTCCTGGAACAGGAGCTCAGTAAATTGATGAACTGGGTTATACTCACCGATAGCCTGTAAGTGTTTCTCTTTCTGCCGTTCTTCCTCTTTACTGTTATCTCCCCCTTTTCTTTTCTTTTTTTTTTCTTTTTTTTTCCGCCTCCTACACTGGCAACCGCTGATAGTTGCCCCCCCCCCCCCCTCCAGCCAAGGTGTAGGTATTCTGGCCGCACTCGAGCAAAAGATGGCAGACATCTCGCAGTCCAACCAGGACTTCCTCAACAGTCTACTACAGAAACTGCACAGCGTGCTCGAGTCGCGGTTCAAGAAATTCGTCGACGAGCAGATTCGCGCCATCGAAGAAACCAAAGTCAAGATCAACAAGCGCAAGGGCGTCATCTCGTTCATCCGCGTCTTCCCCCACTTCTCGGGCGCGGTCGAGAACATCCTCAGCACGGCCGACCGCAACCTGGAGGTCCGGGGCATGGTCGACCGCGAGTACGACCGCATCCTCAAGAGCATGTTCGACTCGCTCAAGATCATCGCGCGGGAGAACCCGGCGGTGGCGGTCAACGCCGGCTCGACGGCCGACCCGGAAGACAAAGAGGCGCTCAACTTCCACATCCTCCTCATCGAGAACGCGCACCACTTCCTCGAGGAGGTCGACGCGCGCGGGCTCGACGTCCTCGACGACTGGCGCGTCAACGCCACCGCCGAGCTCGCCGAGCACATGCAGCTCTACATCGGCGCCGTCATGCGCCGCCCGCTCGGCCGGCTGCTGGAGTACCTCGAGAACATCGAGGCGCAGCTCGCGTCGGGCAAACCCGCCACCAGCGTGGCCGCGCAGCCGTCCAACGCGCCGACCGTCTTCAGCCGGGTGCTCGCCAGCTACGACGCCAAGGAGGTGCGCAAGGGCGTCGAGGCCCTGCGGAAGCGCGTGGAGAAGCACTTTGGCGACGCCGACGACCCGGCGCTGGGCCGCCACCTCGTCGTCAAGGTGCTGCGCGAGTGCGAGAGATTCTACGGCGACGTGGAGCTGCGCATTAGCCGCGTCAACGCCGAGGTGTATGGCGGGGACGTGCAGTTTGAGTGGCCGCGCGCCGAGGTCAAGAGCGGGTTCGCGGCGCGGTAGAAACGCCCGCCCGCCCGCCGATGAAGAGGAGTAAGGGAAGAAACAGCGGTAGCCACGCAAAGTGAAGACGGAGGGGGAGGTGGAGAAGAAAGCATCGTGTTTTTTTTTCGGAGCACCCTCTTGGGCGCAAACTCTTTTGTTAGCATTATTATGCGATGTTGTGTCACGACGGACTTGAAGAAGAAGACTTGTGTATTCAAACCACGAAAGGAATTCATTTATTATTTTGGCTGCCCACCGGATTTCGATAGACGATGATGCCCTTTACTATGTTCGCCTCTTTCACTTTCGGTGATTTCCCCTAACCACCATGTCCATGCCGTTGGAAGCAATTCCCGGAACGTCAAGAAGGACCCCCATGACGTGCCGTGCCGCCTGTCTCCATCACCTAGACGGAAACAACTGGAAAGCAAGGCCTTGAACGTGCTCGGCTACAATACACAAACTTAAGCACTCGGAACTCAGACGTCTCCCAAGGATGATCGATTTTAACCAGTCTATTTACGGGGAATAGGAAGACAACTCAGGGGGGGGGAGGGAGGGGGGTTAACTAGCAGGAAATCCCATCTCATATCATCCATCCTCTCTGCTCTCTCGTTTTCCGGTCAGCATAAGATATGACCCTTGAGCTCATGGAACCATATCAAAGCCATTTGCGACGGGGGAACAAAAAAGAAGAGAATAGGAAAATAGAATAAAATAAAACCATCCGACGCCCCAACGACCTTTCCATGCAAGTGATGGCCTGTCGCCGGTCCATGGGACAAACCATCCCAAAGCCTCCAAGCAGGGAAAAGAAAAGGGCGGGTCAGGTCAGTGAATAAAAGTGGCAGGGAAAATGCAGAGAAAAGAAGAGAAGAAAACCTCATAAACGTCTTAAATAAAAGGTCTCCCCAGGAATCCCCCCGTAGCATCCCCACCGAGCCGACAGCCCCCATCTCGTCGCGAAAGTCAAAAGGCCATGAGAGGATGTCAAGGTGTCGTTAGGAGCTCATGGGCTCATCCCCGCTACATATCAACACGATCCATAACGGGGTTTCTCGGTCATCCCTGGGCATTTCGTTCGGACTACCGAAAAGAATAATAATGTCTGGCAAGTTGTCCGAGTCTCGAGCCTTGCCAACGCCCAGAGTCCTGTATGTATTTCACCCGTTTTGCATCCTGCGTTGCCCCCCACGCCCTTCCTTTTTTTTTTTTTTATACTTATTTTGGTATTTTTTTTCTCTCCCCTTTCTTACGACAGATGGAAGGCTCCCTGACCCTCCTTGATTGCCGTGGCGAGTTGCTTGCGCATGGTTTCGATGCTGGAATAGTCAGGCAATTTCAGGTAGTTGACGCATGTCATGACACTGGGGAGATAATCGTCGGACGTGTACGGTGCTTCGCTGGGTTTGCACACGACGGTGAACATGGGCGTCAAGCTCTTGAAGCCTGGGAGGAGGAAGAAGGTCAGCTTAAAAACGAAAAGGGAATCAAATGACCAAGTAAAGGGGCACTCCAAGGGTCAGGACAGCAACGTACCTCCAATGGGGAGCTTGGGACTACCAGTGGTGAACTGCAAAAAGTCGCGACGTTCCCGAGGCGTCATCTCGCTCATAATCTGGAGCAGATTCCTGACGCTCTTGCTATCCATGTTGAAGCCGTGGTCCGCTTTAATCGAGTCCATAAGTGCTGGAATACCACGTTAGCAAACCAGACATCACCTGCGTTCCTCTTAGGACAGATGGCAACTCACTCTCCAGAGACCAGTCCTCTTCCACCCGGCCGAACAGTGACACCAGCTCGTCCGGCGTAAAGGCGCTCAAGGCCGAGTACGGGAACACCTGAGAGAACCCGCTTCGGAAAGCGTCCACCTGCCGCCGCACACCACTCCCCAGCGTCATGTCGATGACCCGGTCGAGATACAAGTCGACGTTATCCATCGTGAGCTTGACCCGGGAACCGTTCGGGACCAACTCGATCTCGGGATAGCCCGGGACCGTAAAGTCGAGGCAGAGGTCCTCGATGCGTACATCGTCGACCACAACGGCTTCCGTGTCGGCCACCTTCTGTGCGGGCGTCCGCGACGGATCCTCGTCGATCTTCTTCTTCGCCAGAGAGAACTTCTTGATCGTCTTGAGGGATTGCGCCAGCCCCGGGTCGACTACCTTGACAGCCCCGAGGGACGGCTTGACCCCGGATTTCGACGAAGCGTCGCCGATGCGGAAGAAAATCGGGTTGAAGTTGAGGTCGATGATGCGCGAGTCGATCATCGAACGAGCAACAAACTTGCCCAGCATCTTGAACAGCGTCAGATACCGCTCCCAATTGGGCCCCGCCGCTTCTTCGTCGCTCATGGGCCGGGGGAACAGCCCGGTCGCCCCGGAGATGTACTCGTCCGACTCGTTCGAGTCCACTTCGCGCCACAACTTGAGCTTCTTCTTGGAAAACTCCTTGGAGACCGTCGAGTAGAACTCGAGCGTGGGGCCGAGTCCCGTCCCCACCTCCTCGAAATACTCCACCTCCAGGATGCTCTGGGACGCGCCGTAAAGTTCCATAACCTTCAACGCCGACTCAAGGATCTTGGACCGCGAGATCCGCACCTTCTGACGCTGCAACCGGCCCAGGAAGGGCCGGTCGTTGTAGTGGTTACGTCGCGAGTCGTCGTTCGACTGCGCGTTCTGCCAACGCGTCATGGACCGTGCGTAGCCGAACGACGTCGACTGCAGAAACAGATGCCGCGTCTCGAACGGGAACAAGAAGGGATACAATCTCGCCAGGTCCTCCGACCAGCTCGGCAGGCAGTTGCTCGCCACCACCAGAGGCTCCTCCAGCTGTCGGTTCAGCTTGGCAGTGAGCTTGGTATTGACAAACTGTGCGAGGGGCTCCACGTTGAGACGGGCCGTGTCCTTGTTCTCCATGAAAACGTCGTCCACGTTCGCGTTCAAGTCGTGGAGGATGTTCAGCAGGCGCAATATCGACGCAGTGATGCGGTGCTTGTCGAGGGACGGAGGGATCCCATCCGCGTTGTCCGCACTAGTGTCTGCAACCGTGCCAAACGACGAGCCGCCCTCTGGAGAAGGGGGAGGCGGTCCCGGCGCCCGGCGGAACCGGATCGGATGAACCGCGGACCAGATGCTGCGGCTAACGTGCTCGTCCGAGTTGGACGCAGACATGTGCACCGCTCGATAGATCGTCGTCTCGCTCGGGATCGCCTTGCCGTCCAGAGTGAATTCGATGTGCCAATCCTGGGGCACAGACTGAATCGCCGCAGCATATGACATGGGCCGGGAGGACGTCGCAGGCGACGGAGTGCGCTGCGATACGGCGGCGGCCAAGAGTGCGCTAGTGCGCGAAGGCAGACCCAGACCCTGGCCCTGATTGCTGCTACCTTGCGATGGCGTGGGAACGCGCGTGCCATCTTCCGCCCGAGCGGTTACCTTGCCTCCCGCTGCCACTTCAAGATTGACAGCACCGGGATCTGGGCCGGGAGATTCGTCCATGTCCTCGTCGAGGTCGCCGACGATCGCGTCTAGGTCATCGTCGTCACCAATGTCATCGTCGTCTGTCAACTGCCTCTCGTCGGCGCACTCCAGCGCATCTTGCAAGTCGTCGTCCTCGTCGGGTGGGCCCGCTGACGCCGGCGTATCAGTCGATGTTGCCGCCTGACGACGAGCCGACCTCCGCAGAACTGCTTTGTTCCGGCTGCTAGAGGAAGCATCCGGCGTCGAAGGATCGCCATCTCGAGGCGTTGACTTGGATTTTGTTTTGCGAGAAGACGGCCTCGAGGCCGGAGCGCTTGATGAATCACCGGGAGGGGGAGGGGGAGGGGCAGAGCTCGAGCCGGAAGCCGGTGAGGTAGCGTCGGCAAGTCCGGCCCGTTCCGCCAGACGAGCGGCCGCGGCCTGGCTCAACGGAGGCAACCCACCATGGCTAGCCATAGCGGCCAGGGCTCGGGACAGTCCGTCGGCTCGTCGAGACCCACGCGTACGTTCCGAAAGGCTGATGCGAGGCCGCAGATAGTCGTCAAGAGACTTGAATGTCGCAATGGCATGAATCGACACCATAATGTTGCGGTACGGTCGCGGGATCTCAGAGTCGTCGTCCGCGACCAGGCGAAGACGGATCTGCTTGGCGAGCATGGATGCCGCACTGCTGCGGTGGTCAAGCGAGTTATGGTGGACCGTCACCACCTCGAAATGCTCAGACCTACTGAGCAGATCTTGCAGCTTGTGTATCAAGACGCTGAACGGGGTGGCGGGAGAGTCTGCCGTGGCCGTCTTGGGCTTGGCCTTGACCGTGTGTCCCATGAAGATTTTAAGGAACGTCGCCTGCGCAGCGTGGGCCAGTTCCTCGTCGGGATTGCTGAAAATGTTGAGGAGAACGTAAACGAGACGGGAAGCAAGAAGTTCGGCGCTGGTGACACTCTCCAGAACTTCGGCGTCGAAGTAAGTGACCAGCTTCTGAAACAACTCGGCACCCTGCTCCGGGTCGACTTTGGCTTTGGCATCAGTTGGGTTGAGGTAAAAGTCCCCGATCTGATCGGCAAGATTGGTGAGGTCGGTCAGGAAATCGGTCGCCTTCTTCTTCATCGTTTTGTCATGCTTCTCCACGTCGTGCGTCTCCAAGAATCTCTTGGCTACATCCCGGATCCTGATTCGCATGGACTGGTCGTTGGAGAGGTGCCGAGGAACCGGCTCGTCGACCGAAACCGTGGAACCCCCGGAGCTATGAGGGGAGCCAGCGCGTTCCTGGTCGTGTTGTTGGTGATCGTCCTCATCTTCCTCGTCGTCCCGGTCAGCGTCGTCTTCCTCGTCTTCGTCGCGCTCGGATTCGTCGCGCTCCTCCTCGTCTTCCCCGTCATCCGAGTGCTCCTTTTCACCATCATGCCGACTATCGGACCCTTCCAATTCCCGTTGGTCAGAGGCCTCAGGAGTCTCATCGCTCGATGTCTTGACTTTCTCCGGCGGCGGTTGGGGAAACTCCTGGGAGGCGAGCTTGGTAATCTGCGCAATGACGCCTTCCCGATAGAATTGATATTGGTAAACATCGTCCAGACGGCTCAGCAGAAGTTCCGTTGCCTGCAAAGCCAGCATGACAAGAGACGGATGATCCTGTTGGGATAATATGGACGCGAGGAATGAGGCATAGGGGACAGTGCGAAGAGCTTCGCCGAGGATCTCCGCATCAAGGTTGGAGAGCATCTTGAGCTGCGCAGTGAGCACCTTTTGCCGCACGTTGAGATTGACAGTGCTCGAGAAGGCATCTGTCAGAGTTGGAAAGAGGATGAGGGCGAATCGCCGAACTTCGTCCTGGCACTCGGCGAGGAGCTCGATACGTTTGTCGTTGGGCGACTTTCTAGCCCTGCCAGGGGTAGTAGACGTAGGGGTGATGGGCTCGCCTGCACCTAGCGCGATGAAGTCCCCACAAGCCGGGTCGGCATCGTGGGGCAGGTTGGGAAGCAGCTCGCAGATGACATTGAGGGTCTCAATGACCTGATCTCGCGGACGGTGAATGAGGGCTTGCATGATGACAACGCTATCCAGCCGGGACGCGAGGTCGTCCGTGCCGCTGGGTGGGGAGACGCCTGTTAGAATCTGGTAGAGCGTCTCGACAATGTTGAGCTTGAACAGCTCGGCCGATAGGCGGGGACTGGACCGGGCGGTGAATGCCAAGACGCGCAAGAACTGCGTGTGAATGTTGGGCCCGATGAGGTTGGTGGTACCGGGCACAAGGAGGCGCAGAACAGCCTTGAGCAGGTCGACACTGACGAGTTCTTCAAGTTTCGACGGCTGGTACTTGAAGCTCTCGACGATACCCGACACGCAAATCGAGGCCTGCTCGACAACCCGCTGGTCGTTGCTGCCGAGGACATTCAGCAGCGTCGGCATAACATCCTTAATCACGGGGAAGGAGTCTTCGGGGATGTTGCGACAGCAGTTTGCTGCCGTGGTCACGGCGGTTCTCTGGGTGCTCGTAGCAAAGAAATCCAGGTAGGACAGACAAGCCGTCAGACCTCCTTCGCGGACAATGGTGGACGGATACTCGGCCGAGATCTTCTCTAGTGTGCTAAGGGCCTGCTCGGCCAGATCAATGAAGGAGATTTCAAGCAGCTTCTGGCAGAGAACGGGGACGGCACCGCCGTATACGACATTCGCGACGCTAGCAGGTAAAGCTTCCATTAGGTTGGCCAAGCAGCGACACGCGAGCAGCATGATCTCGGGGTTCTCTTCGCCCGTCAGCTCGTTTGGCTGCATGAGAGTCACCAGCTCCTTGACGAAAGAGTCCGGGGAAAAGTGGCCTGAGAGGTTATCTTCGTTGGACACCAACAGAATCTCGGACAATTCTTGCAGAGCAACCAGCTGCATGGTGGGATCATCCTTCTGTCGCAAATTGGACAGCAATCCTCGAAGGCGAGAAGAGATGCCCGACGACATCATGCCAGTCAGGGCTCTCAGGGTACTAGATAGGCCGGAACCAGGTCCGCCGGCGCCTCCGAAGCCACCAAAAGGGTCATCATCATCTTCGTCTTCATCGTATCGGCCGGATTCATCCTCATCGTGTTCATCACTATCATCATGGTCCGAGCGGTGTCCCGGAGGGGGTGGTGGTGGTGGTGGGACGGCCTCCTTTTCGGCGGCATCATCGGTGCCCGTCATGGTAGTATCCTGCTCCGCAGGGTTGTTTGTTCTCGCTGTTCGCTTTCGCTGGCGATAAAGAGTGGAGGAACTAGGCAAAGACTCTAGGGGTACACGCACAAAAGTTAGAGAGCGGCTTTGTTCGATACAACACCACCGGGGATGCCGGCTGGAAGGCTCACCTTGACTATCGCGCTGGCCAGATCTTTTGCCACGACTCGACCTGCGACTAGACGACCCCGAAGAAGGAACGTTTTCCGAAGCGCCGACAGCTCCCGAGTTTCTGGAAAGAAGGGGGGGAACCCCCATGTCAGCACCGAGTGGCACGTCACGTGATGAGAGGTAGAGTGTGGCAACTTGGCTTACCCTGGACTCGACATATTAGCTGGAGCCTTGCCCTTCCTCCGATTTTTCGCCACGGTTGAGGCCTGGTCTGCGGGTTGCGAAGGCGGGGGGGCTGCTGTATCGGTCGTCTTCTGTCGCTTGGAGCGTCGAGCGGATGATGGGGCAGTTGGAAGGGCGGCCTGGTTCGGGCTAGGTCCCTGCGGCGCTGCTTTCCGTTTCCTCGAAGACGGAGTCTGTTGGTTCTCGGCCGGGGGATGATTGTCCAAGGCCGAGCTGGCAGTTGGAGGAGGGTCAGCACCGAGAGCCGATGTGGTGGACGAGGCGGTCCGGCTCGCGGCTTGACGAGCAGATGATCTAGTGACTCTGGTGGGCATGAGTAACGAGTCTGTTATTTTGGTGTTTCTTGAAGACGCCATAGCGAGGTCAACAAATTGGAGGAAAAATGGTTGTTACGATGGGAGGTGATATGTGATATGGGAGGTGGGTTGGGGGAAGGGGAAAGGGGAAAGGGGAGGGAGGAGAAGAGAGGAGAAGAAAAGAGAGTGAGGGACGTCAGAGAGAAGAAGCAAAGGCCGTCCGGGTCCGTCCTAGGTATTCTGGTTTCCTTTGGTCCAGTCGCTCACAATCGAACGAAGCGGTAGACCGCCTTGTGGAACAAGACGAGGCAGGTGAATCAGTGCTCGAAGACAATGTTTGACTTTTTTTTCTTCTTTTATCCCCGTCACTCCGCTGACAGAGGGCACAAGGTCAAGACGAGACGAGGCAGAAAGCCAGAACAATCGAGGGTGTCGAAGGCCGGAGTCTCAAGGCAGAATCATTGAGACCAACCGAATAGGACTGGAGGACAAATCCAAAGGACTCGAGCGGTCGGGCACGAAGTCAAAGAATTCGGATCCTCTCGTTGCCCCAGAAATACCGTTATTCTGTGCTTTCTTCATCTGCTGTGCAGATATTATGGCCGTTACTTTGCTGGGTGAACAAGGTGCCGAAAGCTCGATGGAATAATGATCGGTCTGGCAGGTCCGGGCCGCAGCTGACCGATCAGGCAGGGGTACAAAAATATCGAACGGACATTCGGAATGGTTAGGAAGCCGTCCACGGTTCGTGGAAGTGAAGGCTCAGTCTTCGGTCGGGGGTGACGTTTGCCAGTTGGATGACGGGCGGTTGTAACGGTTCATATGGGGAGTAAAAAGGAAGAAAAGGACCCTTGGAAGAAAAGAAGAAGAAAAAGTGCTCCTAAGTACCTAGGTAGGTACGGAACTACCTAGGTTCGGAAGGAACATATGTGTATGCGTATGTTGTGTAGGTTGTGTAGTTGTGTAGGTTTAGATAGAGATGCGGCTTTGTGTCCTCCGATGCTGGGTTGAGTGCCCTTTTTTCCCCACTAGGCACTTTATTGCATCTCGCGGTTCGCAGATAGGTAAAGATAGCTTTGGTCCTCGTTGGTTTGGTGGTCCGGGTAGCTCGGCCGATTCCGGATAATTCCAATGTGACGGGTTGTGTTGACCACTTCTCGTGGTTCGACCACTTTATTTTCTCTCTCTCTCTCTCTCTGAAGAATGGGATGAAGATGTGAACAACGGGGGGAGCGGGATGATAGTATGGGAGAGTTGTGGTTAGGGTGACCAGGAAACAAGGCACACAGCTTGGTTCCAGATAAGAAGAAGGGCAAGCAAAGAGTCAGAAGAGAGCAAAAAAAGAAAAAGGACCTACCTCGAAGAAGGCACTATTGACGAATCTCGGTGTAGTGAATGCGAGTCTGCGTCCAAACCGGGGTTACGTCGTTCGTTTGGCGAAGTCGCCGTTGTGGTTTTAGTGGAATACGAGGGCGAAAGAGGAGACGGGACCGAGGTCGATGTTGGATTCGAAGTCGGGAGCGTCGTAGTGTGGGAGCGCCCTGGGAGATCGTGGTGGTCGACTACCGATCTGGAGCGCTGGTTTGCAGAGGATGTTCGTTCTGCCATGGATCACGCCATGAGGCAAGTCACCAGCTGCAAGCTAGGAGATCATGAGCATGGGGAAATCCCGGAGGTTGTGTTGTTTCTTTCCTCCCTCTTTTATTATCCTCTTTTCCTCTTTCTCGTCTTGTGTTCCTTCACCCCGACGGGAGTAGCGGAGATTTATCGGGTCAAGGTCGATGGTGGTTTCTCGTTCGGCTCTGCGTAGGAAAGGACAAGGGAACTTGAGACACAGCTAGTCGGGCTTATCAGGCTCGAGGGGGCCGGGTCGATGTCGTGTTTACTCGAAAAATCGTGGAAAGCTGCAAAACAACGCGGGACGTGTCACTCAGTTTGGGACAGTATCAATCGTCGGGATAGACCCTCAATGTGAATGTCGAACGAATACAGGGTTTTGCGGGAGAGTTCTTGCGGGAGAGTTCTTGCGGGAGATTTGTGGAAGAGGAGAACATGCAAAAGAGAGGAAAAGTATCGTTGGCCTGCATACCTTAGGTAAGGTATGGGGATGGGGCGAGGAGAAGAATGAGACAAGACAGCCTGGAAGACGATATGATGAGCTGCTGACTCCTCGTCAGGTAGGTATGTACATGTATCTCTGCCTATCTCGATCCCCACCAAATTAGCGCCTACGTAAGGTAGTATCATCAACTTACAGGTCACAGTACTCGGTACAGAGGTACACTATCCAACCCGCGTGCATCCGTTGCACTGTACGTTGTACCTACGCTTATCGACCCAGCCCTCTCCACTTGCCGGCGGTCCAGACTGTGGGTTCGTCACTTCGTCCACGGTTGCTAACCACTAAGGTACCTTTACGCGACTCTGGAGGAAGTACCTTTACCTACGGAGTGTACTACTCGTATAATCCTCATACCTTCCTTGACGTAGATATCATGTCTCACAGTCTGCTCATTTCTTCCATGAATTGTGTCTTACGGAGTAGTAAAACATAGTTGTCTCCTCTTACGAAATCATATCGTAGTCGACGCCTAGGTCGGTACTTCGTAGGTACCGCTCCCGAGCCACGCGTACCAAGATGCAGGAGCTGCTTACTGTACCATGCACTGTGGGTGGACTTGGTGGGTCCGGTTTCGTTAATGTTCCTTTCGAATGCCGACACCTCTCTGTCCCGTCTTCGGCTGGCCGTCCTTTCTGGCAGAAAGGGGTCAGCAAGCAGGGACAAGAGGCTCGGAGCATCCTTTCGACAAAACAGTCTTTCGGCTTTGATGGGTTCTGATCATCATTGTCTGCTTCTTATTACATGTATTGTATCATTCAAGTTCGACTCGGAAAGTAGGGCATCCGATATGATATCATGCATGGGCCTGTGGGCCTGTGGCGGCCCTCTCACTCCCTCGTTGTGAGAAAACCACTTCTTTTGAGACCTCTACGGTTTTAAGCTATCCTTTCCGTCCTCGTATTCGGACCAGTCGTATTCGTTAGGGTATTTTTCCAAGTGTTCCCTCAGCTGCGTCATCTGGTTCCTCAAGTCCGGCGTCAGCTCCTCGTAGACATCCTCGAACATGGCCCGGATGGGGGGCTTTTTCTCGGCCTCGGCCTCCCGGAAAGCCCGGAGGATCTCAGCCCGCGTCTCCTCGCGGCAGGTCTTCTCCTTGGCATCGTCCCAGATGCCCCGGACTTCCATCCACTTCCGCAGCCGCGTGATGGGGTTGTCCCGCCTCTTCCAGTCCTCCACCTCCACGCGGGCCCGGTAGGCGAACGAGTCGTCCGACGTGCTGTGGTGGCTCACCCGGTACGTCATGGCCTCGATCAGCACCGGCCGCCCGCCGTTCTCCAGCGCCATGGCCCGCGCCCGCTTGGTGGCCTCGCGCACCGCCCAGAAGTCGTTGCCGTCCACCCGCACCGTGTCGATCCCGTACCCGATGCCGCGGCTCGCAATGCCGTCGCCTCGGTACTGGTCCAGTGTCGGCGTGGAGATGGCGTAGCCGTTGTTGCGGCAGATGAAAATCACGGGGCATGATCGTGTCGCCGCCATGTTCAGTGCTGCGTGGAAGTCGCCCTCGCTGGCCGCCCCCTCGCCGAAGTAGGCCGCCACCACGCGCGGCGGCAGGCTGGCATCATTCAGTCGCTGCATTTTGAGAGCGTACGCCGCTCCCGAGGCCTGCGGTAACTGAGTCGCCAGCGGAGAGGATATCGTGTGCTGTTCGAGGGTTCCCGTCAGTCGATAAATACCGTCCAGTGTGAAACTAGAAAGAAAGAAACCCATAGGTGTGCCGTGACGAGCCATCGCCTAGGGAAGGGTGGGGTGAACATCATCTTACAATATTAAGTTCCTTGCTGCCGTAGTGCACTGGCATGTTTCGTCCCTTTCCGGGGTCCTTGCGGTTGGCGAACAGTTGGTTCACAAAGTCGGCTGTTGTAAAACCGCGCTGTTTAAAAACCCCCTGTTCGCGGTACTGACAAAAGATGACGTCCTCCGGGGCCAGCACGCTAGCTGACCCAACACTCAGCGCCTCCTCTCCAGCTGACACCATGTAGAAACTGAGACGGCCCTGGCGCTGGGCATCAAACATGATAAGGTCGAGAATGGAGATGAAGACCATGTCCTTGTACAGCTTGACCACCTCCGCGTCGGTCAGGTCAGGCTCGAACGACTCGTCTACTACCACGCCTTGCTGGTCGACAACACGGTAGGTCGGAAGAGCGGGGTAGTCCTCTGATGTTTCGTACTTGAGCTTATGGGTGAAGGCGCTTTTCACAGCGCCCGGGAAGGACACATGATTTGCATTGGGCTCTTGCGAGAGCCTGCTCGATGCTCGGGCGTGGGATGGGAGACTGAGGAGAGGACTCGCCAACGACGTTGAGGTCCTCGGAAGACGGACTCGGCGCAAATGCGCTGGCCTGAGAGCACCTAACTTCATGACAATTGAGGGTGGATGTTGGGAAAGAGAATTGGAACACGGAGACGACGACACGACATTGATTAACAGAAAGAGGGAGAAGGGGGAATTCTATGAAATCCTTTGGAACAGGGAGGAGTTCAATGGGCTGGAACTAGAAAGCGACGTCATGTTGAGCCGACAGAAAGCGAAGAGCGTGGGCGGGCTTGGCGGTGTCGCTATCAGCTTATCGTTGGAATTTGTGGATCCCCGGGGAACCCCTGGCGAGGGGCACGGGAGACGGTGAACCTCAAGGACGTCGGTGTATTTGTAGATATGAGGTTGTATTTACCCAGCATATTACTAGTGTTGACCATATACAAGTGCTCATATAAGCTGTCTCGTTGTCTTTATCATCGTGGGGATGTCTTTTTTTTTTCTCCTTCTTTTTTTGCTTATGCTAACAGTTATGATAATTATAGGGGTGAAAGTCCTTAATCTCCGGTCTCTTTCTCTCTAATATAGTCCATAGAAGGCATACATCATCTTTATTATTAGGCAGGAGAGTAAATCTTATTATATCGGGTGGGCAGGTTTACATAGCAAGGTGTTATCTTTTATGAACCCCGGGATATCGTAACCATGATGGCAGTGCAGACTCGCTCTCTCATAAGCACTCCCCTACCCCCAGAGTAAACAATCACGCAATGTAAACGAACAGATTAATAGCCGGGCGCCGCAGCGATGAAGTGACGGAACTTTTGATCCCGTGCAGATATTTCACACTCGTGGATGTAGAATTCCTCAAAGCAAAACTGCTTCGCTCTACTCATCTCTTCATCGCCTACTCCTGCTGCTCCCACCATCACCTCCATCACACCAACCCCTTCGCCTGCATCCGGAACGAACAGTTCTTTCCCGACTCTACGCCTTGTCCCCAGTCAGTGAAACAGAGCAACTTAATTCAAACCGCTCCGACTTTAAGACTCAACAACAACAGACGAACAGACGAGATGAGCAACGACTTGACCCCCGGCTCCAAAGTAGCCATCGTGGTCATCACCGTGCTCTTCTTCGTCTTGATGCTGGCCTTGTGTGCCATGAAACAAGTCGACCGGTTTGTGCTTCTTATGGCAAGCGCTCGGGAGTATATCCGCGGTCGAGGCCGCGAATCGGGCCGGGATAAGAGCCGCGAGTCCGAGACGGCCGATACGGCTGTCTAAAAGTAAGTGATTCTCCTGCAAGTTTGTCGAGGTACTTCCCGGAGGCATGGACGAACGACCCAAGTCAAACAAGGTAGGTACCTGTGTGGCTCAACTACCTTACGCTAAGGTAGCGAGTGGAACGCACCAATCTACTTCAAGGTACATTTTGGCTTGTTTCACCAGCCACAGATCGGTCGGATCAAACTCATCTGTCATCCCTGTCTTTGCGGCGGTACCAATTGCTTCTGCCGCCAAATGCCGCCCCGCCAAATCCCATTGAGCGAGCTCCACCGAAAGAATACGCTTCCAATCTTGGCCGATCCGCGACTTGGGAATCGAGACGCATTCGCTGACATCTTTCCCAGCAATCAACACCCCCAACCGCAACAAGCAGCCGTTCCGATCGCAATGGCTGCTCCTCGAGCCTTAGGCTCAGCCAGGGGCCTTAGGGCCCTCTCACGTCCCGTCTTCCAGCTTCAGTCACAGTCTCCATCTCCGTCTTTCCCGTCGCCCTCTTTGTCTCGGTGCTTCTCCGGAAGTGTCCCCTGTCTGCACGACGCCAATGCTCCCTCACCATCTGATCGCGCCTCTTCTGCGGGCGCCGCAGGCAACAAGACAACACACTTTGGCTACGAGACGGTCTTGGAATCCGAAAAAGAAAACCGTGTCGCCGGTGTTTTCCACAGCGTAGCCGAGTCGTACGACCGCATGAACGACCTCATGTCCTTCGGCTGGCATCGAGTCTGGAAGTTCGTTCCCCTTTTTTCTTCTTAAACCTTGGACATTTTCTTGTTCTCTCTCAACCTGCCTGCTAACCCCACCTCTCCCCCAGAGATCATTTCGTCGCCTCCCTCGCACCAGGCCTCTCGACCTCCAACCCAGGGCAACCCCAGCGCATCCTCGACGTAGCCGGCGGCACGGGCGACATCGCCTTCCGCCTCGTCTCCGCCGCCCACGCCGCGAGCCCGAACCCGAAACTCCACGTCACCGTCTCCGACATCAACTCCTCCATGCTCTCCGTCGGCCGCGACCGCTCCCTCGCCCTCCCCGCCTCGCACCAGGCCTGCCTCTCCTTCCTCGAGGCCAACGCCGAGCGCCTGCCGCCACAGGTCCAGGACAACTCCCTCGACCTCTACACCGTCGTCTTCGGCATCCGCAACTTCACCAACCCGCTCGCCGCCCTCCGCGAGGCCCACCGCGTCCTCAAGCCCGGCGGCGTCTTCGCCTGCCTCGAGTTCAGCAAGGCCGACAAGCACCCGCTCTTCAACTACGTCTACAAGCGCTGGAGCTTCGGCGCCATCCCCCTCATCGGCCAGCTCGTCGCCGGCGACCGCGACAGCTACCAGTACCTCGTCGAGAGCATCGAGCGCTTCCCCTCCCAGGAGCAGTTCCGCGACATGATACTCGAGGCCGGCTTCGAGGTTTCCGGCGACGGTTACGAGGACTTGACCGGCGGTGTGGCTGCCATCCACAAGGGCGTCAAGCCGCTCGCTTGATCCAGAATTTCATTCAGCAATGCCAACCAAACTTCGAGACATACACGGCGGACGGACCGGAAAAGAGACACAAGAACACTGGAACTGTATAGTAGATCATGGAAATTAAGATGGAAATAAAGCCCAGATTCTGATGTGAGACGACCTTAACGGCATTAACACCAACATAATCCGCATCCCGTAACATGAATTACCACCACTGCCGGACTATCTTACTCGATCCCCGTAACCATTGCACATGGAGAGAAACCCCAAACTTGAGTAGGTTCCGTCAGGGGAAGAGATAGGGGGAAAAAAGAACAAGGGAAGCAAATTGCGATGTAAATAATGGACGTAGCTATTGCATCTGAATCTCTGGCCCAAACCCCGATAAAAGCGCGGACTGCCCAGGGAACTCCTCTCCCGCCGAACTTCCCAAAGCCATCTCATTAAGTTTTGTAAAATTGGCGTACAAGAAATTGGTAACAGTTAATTCCGGACTCGTCCCCTCAAAAGCTCCTCCTTTTCCCATCCTTCGCATCCCTCTCGAGCCAGAAACGAAACCCCATTCGGAGCACTACTGCCCAGGAAACAGCAGGCCCGGGAGATCAAGTGAGGCGAGAGGAAGGGGAAGAAAACAAAAAAAAAACAAGAGGATAGACCTTGCGGCACGTAGGTGTATGGGGATAGTGTGAGAATAGCCATAGCGCCCATGCTCTTGAGGAGTAGTCAACTAGGCTCAGTTCCTCAAGCCGGCAAAAAAATAAAAAAATGAAACGCACTCGGCTCCTTCTATCTGACCACCTCACTCGTTTTTTTATGGACCCTTCCAACGCGCGATGGACGTGTCAATATAATTGAGCATACGGTCCTCGGCTCTCATTTGTCGTCCTTCTTTCACTCGGCCGGGGTAGAAGCCCCAGGCGCAGGTGAGGAGGCACCGCCGTCTCCCTGGCGACCACCGCCTCGGCCTCGTCCACCGCGGCCGCGTTCACCACCGCGTCCGCCACGACCGCCGCGGCCACGGCGGTTACTCTCGGAGTCGCTAGCACCTCCGGCGCTTCGGTAGCCGCTGCCGGTATTGGCCGACCCGCTGCCGCCCCGGCTGCTACCCCAGTTACCAGCGCCGCCACGGGGTTGGAACTTGCTCTCGCGAGGCACGAAGATCTTGACTAGCGGACGAGAGCGGTCCTCGTGTGCTCTGGTCTTGAGGTCGTCGGGAAGGGCAACCAGAGCGGCGTCGCGGTCTTCGGCATTGCTGAACTGCACCACTTTGTTGGAGCTGCCCCACTTCTCGATCTTCAGAATCTTGGCCCGGTGCTCCGAGTCGAATAGATCTCGTGTTTGGTCTTCCGAAGACACGTTCATCACGAAGAGCCCGATAATTGTGCTGGGGGCCGGAGAGGAGACGGGCTCCGGGCCGTTCGCCGAGCCGTTAGCGGCGGCAGGTACGGCCTTTTCCGACTCCTTGACGGTGTCAGGTTGAGGAGTGCTTGACTGGGGTTGGGCTGGAGGGGCCTTGGAAGATGTTTGGCGGCCGGCAGGGGACGGAGCGGCAGGCTGGGCAGGCTGGGCGGACCCAGGGCTAGGGGCAGCGCCGGAGCCAGGGGCAGGGGCGGGAGGCGCAGCAGCTGATTGAGAAGAACCGGGAACGGGAGTAGAACCAGGCTGCTGCTTGGCGCCCCGATGGGAAAAGTTAAACCCTTGTGCGCGCATTTCTGTCCCGATTCGGCCGTCCTGGATCTCTAAGACGAGCCAACCAAAGGCGGCATCCGCCAGGTTAAAGTTCCACATGTTCTTGAACGCACTCTCGTCGACTTGGCCGAGCTGGGCCTGTCCCTGGACTGGGCCGCCGAAGGGATTACCACCGGCAGCCGTAGTCGGCATCTTCTCAACGATCTGGAGAGCGTTCTTAAGCAGGTTTTGTTGAGCCTCGTTCTGGGCGATGGCCGGCTCGACTTCACCCTTCACGGTCTCCCACACGTCGTTGAAAGACGCCTTGGACGCGGCCAGCTTTCCTCGGTAGTGATCCAGCGTAGGATTCACGCTAAACTCGTTGTAGGAGCTGCCGTATCGGAAGTGTAGACCGGCGGAGATGGAGAAATCGGCCTTGAGGGTGACGGACAGCTGATTGAGGATACCCTCGCGGGCGGGGGAGGCATGGGTGACGAAGATGCGGGTTTCAGTGGGATCATAAACCCTGTTAGCTGTATCAATCAGCTCGCCCATCTGAAGGAGGGTGGTCCACATGGTTCCCTGGCCGCCGGCAATGGTGGTCCTGCCCTCGCCGTTGTCAAACAGCTTGTGCATGACGACAGCGCCGCCCAGGCCGAGAAGACGAAGCTTGACACCGCCAAGTTCGAGGAGCATGGAGCGGGCCTCGTCGATGATGTGCAAGTTGTGGACCTTGTACTCGGTCGAACGGAACTTCTCCAGCACTCTCACATCCTCGCAAGCGCCCCAAACTGTATAAACGGGAACGTCGAGCTTGATGTCGCCACTCAGCAGCTGAGATAGCTCAGAGAGGGGCAGGTCTGCGGGCGAAAAGCGGCTCTTGACGGGTCCCGGGCCGCCCTGTTGGATCGCTTTCTTGACGGGCTCGGAGATCAGGGGGGAGTATTGAGCAACATGCTTGAGGGTCCTAGAGGAGGGCTATTGTCAGCGCGTTGTCTCGCAGGAGAGGGAACGGTGGGCGGGGCTGGCCTCCAAAAAGAAGGGAGGGGCAATATTCACTTCTCGGCAATCCGTTCAAGGGAGGTATCGTCGTAGAAACCAAAATCGCCCGTATGGATGATATGATCGGCGCGAGCAGACTTGGCAAGCTCGTTCAAGGAATTGAGGTTTCCTGTTGATAGTTATACGTTAGCCTGAAGTTGAGACAAAAGTTAAGGATGGACACAAGTTGGCAATACGTACCTCGAACATCGGCTATACAAAGGATCCTCATGGGACCCGTCTGAACTACTCGACCTTGGTTAGGGAGTAGAGGAGCGGCCCCAGGTGGGATGGTAGTGCCGTTGGGCATGTAATTAGGGCCGGTGAACGGGCGAGGCTGCGGGAACCGTAGGTGGTTAGCGTTGATTTGCGCGGGTTTCGATAGGGTAATCATGGAGGCAAAGGGACTGCTGTTCCAATGTCCGGGAAAAGTAAGATCGCCAGAGATCGCCCGCAAGGTGAGCGACGATCTTAGGAGAAAGATGAGGAGGGCAGGGGAGAGAAGAAGACATACAGCAGCCATGCTCACGATCTTTTCGATTCAAGATACGAGACAGTCGCGTGTTGCGGAGGAGTAGGTGACCGGGGGACAGGGACCGGAAGGCAGGTCGTTACTTCACTCAGAAGTGGGTAAGACCGCGATGGTTCAGGAGAGGCGATCGTGGGATGGTGGGAAGGCAGGAAGGTGGAAGGTGGATGATACACGCAGGTGGCGTCGTCAGGAGGGTTGGAAGGTTTTTTGGTGGTTTGGTGGTCGGGTTGCTTCTCGAAGGGAGCAAGCACGACGTTTACTTTGCTCGGGAGAGAGAATAGGTGCGGCGGCCGAAAAGAAATAGGAATTAATTAAAAGAAGAGATAGGTGGGTATCAAGAGAGTGACAACAAAGGGCGGTTGGGGAGGGGGGTTGCGATGTTGCCGATTGCGACGTGTAGGTATTTCGAGAAGTTAGGAGCTCTCCTTAGCCAGGCTGTCGATTAATTTTGCTGGAGGTGACGCCTGGGGTGTTACTTCCAGATTGTTATTAATCACCTCTAGCCCTCTTGTTTCCCTCAGTCCTGGCTCGCACCTGACGGGGCAGTACTGTCAAGTTCGTATCGAGGTACCTTTCAGATCGATACTTCCAGCCAATAGGAGGACGTTCTGTTCGCTGACTAAAGGTCTTAAGGCTTTTCCCCCACTTGGAATAGCACGAGCTGGCGACAGCTGCAACATACCATAGGTACCTTACCTTAATAAGGTAAGGTACAAGAACAAGCCCAAGTACCTAAATTTACAAGTTTGTAGCGCACGATCACCGGATTCATCGTACTCTCGACCTATCCAGGTAGTTCTTCATTATTAGCTGGTTTGAATATATGCCCGACCTAGCACTTCACCAGAGAAGGCCGGCAACATCAAGTACCGTGACTCTTCAAGTTCAATCAGCTAGCTCCAGCTATATAAGCAAGTCACGTATCCCTTCATTTGCTCTTTCCACTTTCAATGGCCTTCTGCAGAGGCTTGAGAGGCAATTCGCTTCGTTATGCTGTATACATAAATTTATCTCTGACCAGGTCCCTCAGAGTTTTGGAACCCACAAGAGAGGGTGAATGGGGAAAAACAAAAAAAAAAACCCCCAATCATAACGTAAAGCGGAAACATAAAAGATGAGAGCAAATGATCGCATGGGATCAACCGACCCAACCACGGGACCCCAGGTCAACGCCCAACTCGACTCCCGTCTCCATCGCTGCCAACTCATTTGCGGAAGGGGAGAAAAATAGCAGGACAACAAAAAGAGCGCGCGCGACGAAGGAAAGCGACAGGTGGCTCTGGTCCTGCCGCTCTGCACCCGCCCAACTCCATCCTTATGCATCTTCGAACCGTAGGCAGGCTGATGAGAGATAGGCGGCAGAGTTATGTACAAAGATGGGCTACCGTTGGCATACAGCTCTTGTCGTCAGACGTGGTGAAAAGAAAAAAAAAAGAAAAAAAAAAGAAAAAAAAATCCGTCACCACATGTCGTCTCGCCCATTCTGACGTCTCCCTTGGTCATCTCCGTCGTCCGCTTGGTATGGGTCGTGACTGTTGTGGCTATGGTGACCATGTTGACCGTGTTGGCCCTGGCCCTGGCCCTGGCCGGGCTCGTCGTAATATACCTTGCCATGATGAGTACCGTATTCATCATGGTTGGCGTAGGAATCTCCATGCATTGGTTCGTTACCACCTCCATGCTCGTACTCGTACATTTGAGTCTCGTCCATATAGTCTCCGTCGTGGCCGTGACCATCTCCGTACTGGTTGGAATCCTAAGGGAGCCAAATGGTTAGTGCTCAGGGGAGGCCAAAAAAACAGAAAAAAGAAGAAAAAAGAGAGAGAGAGACAAAAGAAAGGAGGGAAAATGACGGATAGCCAAGGGAGGAAAATGAAATGCGCAAATCTCAAAAGTGGACCTCATACCCGATGGTACTCATAATTGTAATCGTCAAGAGCATCCTGATCGGTTTCCTGCTGCATCTGCTGCTGAGCCAGATACTGTTCTTCCTGCTCCCTCCGTCGACGTTCCTCCTCCAAGCGCCTCTGCTGCGGGGACTGCGGAATCTGCGCTTGGGGGTGCATGGCCTGAACGATGGCCAAGTAGTTGTACATGAAGTTGCTGAGCAGGACCTGGCTCGCCAACGACCGACGCGGATTCGCAAGCTTGATGTGGGCCATCCGGTATATGGCCCTCTCCTCCAGCAAAGGAAATCGTGTCCACGGGTAGTCGACGTCGGGTCGCAGGGGCCGGTACGGGCGTTCTTCGGACACGCGTGGTTGGTGCCCTTTCTTGCTCACCGTCTGCTTGTCACTCTTCCTCTTACTACCGCCGAAGAGGCTGGAAAACAAACCTCCCCCCTCCTTCTCCTTCTTCGAAGGGTCCGATTTGCGACTGCCCTCCCTTTTCCGTTCCTCGGCCGGTTTGGCGTCGACGTTCTCGCGGTCCAGGTGTAGGCTTTCGCGGCCCTTGTTCACGGCGCTCTCAATGGAGTTTTGCAGGACGTCCAGGCGGACATTATCCTGGGCCTTTTCTACCAGGCTCTTGCTGCTCTTCTTCTTCTCGTCCTCTTTCCGCTTCTTCTCCTTGTCCTCGCCGCTGCCCTTGAGCCATTTGGACCAGCCACTGGACGATTTCGAAGAGAAAACGCTGGAGCTGTCGTCGTCCTTGTCCTTTTTGGATTTCTTTTCGATTTTCCGTTCTTCTGGCGGTAAAGTGGGGATGAAGGTGAGGCTATCGGTGCTAGTAGCGCCACTACCGGGAATGGGCGACGGGTGGGACGCCATGTCGTTCAGAGACTGCGGTTGCGGGGCGGCATGGTTGAGCTGCTGGCTTAGCTGCTGCTGTTGCTGGAGCGTGGGTACAGAAGAAGATGAGTGAGGGCTCCGGACGGCGGCAGGTCGTTTGTTTGCCTGCACAGACAACTCATCGGGAGTCATATGTCGCAGAGCCATGTCCTGGTTTGTCTTTGTGGAAGACGAAGACCTTTGTGGGTACGGTCTTGTTATTTCGTCTGTTTCTGTCGGTTGGCTGGGTTCCTCCTCTCGCAGAGGCGAATCCATCTTTTGTGGTACCGGGCCCTTGGACTCTGACGCTGGGGACGCCCGCGTCGTAAGCACGTCCTGAACGCTACCGGTAGCTGAAGTAGCATCGCTGACGTCCGCTAAACTCAGATCTTCGCCACCCGTCAGGGAAGCGTGAGATTCGGGATGCGCAAACAGTTGCGCCCGCCTCATTGACCGATTCGGCCGCGAGAAGTTCTCCGAGATGGGCTCAGACTGTACCCTACCAAGTTTATGGCCTGGCGGAGCGTCGCCGGGCGGAGGTGCGGTCTCTGGCGATTCGGAGCCGGTCTGGCTGCGCCGCGCAGCAGAGACCCGTTTGCCCAGAGAGAGGCGTTCGCCGGAGCGCATGCTGCCACCTTTCCTGTAGGTGGTGCGAGTCGACCGGCGAAGTCCCATCCCCGGGGCCATGGGCAGAATGGGCGCATCATCTGCGCTACTTCCTGACCCTGTGGATGGTGACTGTTTTGTTTCCCGAGCAAGCCTTTGTACCGCCCTTGTGGGGTCCTTCACAAGCTCCTCTAAGCTTAGCTCTCCCATTGAGTTTTCGCTAGACCGCTTGCTATCCAACCTCTCCGCACCGTCTATGTAGCTGTCTGCAGCCCGACCACCCGTATTGTCGATCTGCCTGGAGAGCATGCTCTTTTTCCTTTTCAAACCGCCCGAGTTGCTGCGGTCGAGGCCATCTGGAGAAAGGAGAGAATCGCCGGTGCCGGACCTTCTCCTTATCGTCTTGACGCGGTTTTCGAGGAAGTTTTTGAATTCGGTAGGCGCTAGCTCTGGATGAACGGCCGCGGGCACCCAGAGTAGCCTCGACGGATCAGCCTCGTCGTCACCGCCCGAAGGCGCAATGGAGGGGATAGCCGTCAGAGACAATCCGGAAAACGGCAACAGATCAGGATCTGAATTGTTTCCCACGTCCATGGACATCCTACGGAGCGCCTGCAGGTTACTCAACTCTTGGGCAATGTCGTTGGGATGTTCGATGTTGGTAATGGCGAACTGGGACGAATCGGCTTGGACATCTCGGAGGGAGAATGCGGGGGAAACGGGCGACATGGTACCATTCTCGAATAAGCCACCACCTCGATGGCCGGGGGCCCCGACGGGCATGGTATGGGCCTTTTTCAACTGAGGACTGCTACCTCCTCCATTGGTTGTCGAAGGGATGCCTGACTGATCGGAATTTGACCGCAGCAACGCCCGGCGCGAGTCTCGGGGATCTTCATTGTTGGGAGAATCAGCGGGGTTGTGTCTATGCATCTGCTCGGGTTGGCTATTGGGCATGAAGCTCAGAGGGCGTTGATCGTTGGAATAATCGTCTTCGTCGCCGTAGAGAGTGCCGATAGCCTCGGTGACATGATGGCTCGGATCGGAGATGGAGAGTTGGCTACCATGACCGCGTCGGCTGGCAAAGCTGCCACCAACATCACCTCGCGGCTGGGACGAGGTCTAGGAGGAAAATATGAAGGTCAGTCTCGGCAGCAACAAAATAACGGAGCCTTGTCTTCTCGGAAGATATGAGCCAAGCAGTTCTCAGATGGGAAGAAAAGTGGCTACAATGCCGATCCTCTGCCCCTCCCCCGGGCCCGAATGAAATAATGAAGCATGTGCAATTGCAGGGAAGATGAAGGTGTTGGGTGGGACTGCCCTCGGCGCTGAGAACGCAGTACAGAAAACAAGATGAAAAACGGGAAGGAAAGAAAGCCAAGACGATAAGTCTCTTCTTCTCTTGTTTTCTTTTTCTGGAAAAAAAAATTCAAAAAAAAAATGGAACGCACCATCATCTATATAGAGAGGCAAGCGCTCTCGAGAGAGGCTGGAAAAAGCCACAAAAGCCCCTGTTTAACGCTCCAAAGCGGGCGGAGTCGTCTGTCGGTCGGCGGTCGGCGGTCGGGGCAGGTGTAGAGGAAATAGGTTACGGACACAAAGAAGGCATGGACGCGGTTGAACGGTCAGATACTAAGGCGACACGACGTTGGATATGAGGCACATCGATCGGGGGCCGGCTTTTATCGAGGTCGAGGCAATGGAAAGAGGAAGCGCGGTAGTTGATATAAGGCCTGGCGGAAGAGGTGGTGGTCGATCGGTCAGTCCGGTCGCCAGGGAAGTTCAGGAGGGTACTCGGACAGTTGATGCCGTTGAAAAGGGGTTCGTAACAGCCTCCAAGGAGGGCTCGTCAAGACGAAGACGAGAGAAGCCCGCTCGAGACAAGGGCCGAAGGGGCTAAGGGGGGCGAGAGAGCGAGGGCGTGAAACCTGCAGACCGTGGAGAGTAAAATGTACGGGGCGACGGAGAAGGCGGGAGAGAAAGAAGGGGATCGATCGCCTTTCTTCGCCGATAGAGATGTCGTAGCGTCCGTTGGCAACGAGTAAAGGTAAAGAAGATTCGGAACCACACAACGGCGCAAAATAGTTGCAAGGCACCAGTCTGCTAATGAACTGTGAACAGTTGGACCTTCGAACCAAACAGAGTCGTTGAATGATCGGGGGGGTGGGTGGTGTGGATCTTGGACTGGGAGGTGCCAAGAACAGGAAGAGACGGTGGGCAATTCTGCGATACAAGCGTGACCTGCGCCCCAGTGACCGTTGACGGTCAGCCCAAGTACCGTCCATTTACCGCTGCGCCACCAATGGCGTTCGAGTAATCAAACTGGGTATTCTGCTCCACCACGTTCTCGGGGCTCGGGAACGCCATCCACCGGTGTGACCGAGACGGGTAGAGGTACTTAGGTACCTACCTGTCCTTTGGGTCGACCCCCCTCGAGGCGGGGTGGAACCATGACAACGTCTGAACACTTAGAGTCACGTGCCACTCATCCACGCGATGTACAGACCACACCGAAATATAGGTAGACCTCGTATGGTATTTATCTCGGTTTGATTATGCATCTATTAGTAGGTACTGTACTGGACATGATATTTGCTCAGATTCGATATACCAGGCGAAGTTAAACGCAGCAATGATTTCCAATCAATGTCATCCCGCCGCTGCCCATAGACCAGATTCTCACTGTCCCTTACGCCAGTCTCACGACTGAGAGAACAATATTGAGCTGATAACTGGATAAAAACTCCCATCCTCCAGCTTCTAGAAGCTCAGGAAACATCATAGTCTCAAGCTAGACTATCCTTGATGCCTTCTTGATCATCTACGGCATAAGGTAGACCATCTACCTAATCCCCTGGGTATACCAATGCTTCTGCCCATTTTCTTCTGCGGGTCTCCCTGCCACTTCGTCCTGTCGGTCCTCGAGGTGTTCGCTCTGGCATGCTTGACACGGGATGGGACACCGACCCATCAATATCCTCACTCTATACGGGTCCGTTGCGCCTGTTGCTTGACTCTGCTGAACCAAATCCGTCGTCGGTGGAACTGGTAAATCTAAGACACGAAGTTTCTCAGATCTCCGAGTTCCAAATGGGAACCTAGTCAAGACATGTAAAATTCCTAGTCGCAAAGAGGCGTGAGGATCCAGAACCCAGGAACCCCAGGCTGAATCTTGGACCCTGCCCGGTCTCTATCTTGCCCCTGTGAGACATCATCACATGCATCTAGGGTTCTGACAACGGGCAGCCCTTCCCAGCCACATATCCTCTTTCACACCACAGGAATGCTGCCGCGGAAACAAACATCTGGGCCAATTATATCCTGAGGAGTAGAGGCCGAATTAGGAGGATAATTCGACATTTCTAAGGGGTGGCGGGATTGTGGGAGTCGATTGTAAAAAGGTATGCTTCACTCGCACCGAATCAGTACTAGTCAGCACGATGACGCTGTATAATTATGTCACTTCCGCCACTACCCCGTAGGACGGATTTCCAACTCTGAGAGCTGTTAAATGACATACCCAACGAGACTTTCCATCCCTCATGTAGCGATTCCGGTCACTTCAGAGAATTTGGCGACTTTGAACTATGTATCAGCCAAGTAGCCGTGGGAGAGGGCTCAGCCCTCTTCCCGTTCAGAGTCGTACACAATGTCCACTGCTTCTTCAACCTCATCATCCTCCCGCATCAAGCTCTCCGGAAGCATCTGACTCTTAGTCAGGAGCTGTGATGAATGCAGCTGAAAGTCTGCCGGGGGAAGCTGGATGGGACTGTCGTCGTCTTCCGTGTCCTGTAAAAAGAGGCTCGACGAGGAGTGACGCATCGGCCGCGGCACTGGTCTAGGAAAGGGCGATTCCTGTGTCGACAGCTGGCTCACCGTCGTCGCCTGTGACGGACAGACCGTGTGCCGGGGTGTTGTGTTCGGAAGCCGAGCGGGAGGCGGGAGGCCGGTGATCTGCGGACGAGGGCTGCTGTGGCTTCGTGGGACGTCGTCTTGGCTCGATGGTACGATAGTGAGTTCCTCTTGGGAAGAGCGATGCTGTGTGGCCTCGCTCATTATTTGCTTTGTGACCTCCTTTGAGATCGTCGCCGTTTCGGTGGGCCCATGGGATTCGAGTTGCGAGGACGGCATGTCAGCCCCGCTTTCATTCGCCACGATGGATTGCCTATCGACATCATCCTCATCCTCCTCTCTGTCTGATAGAGAACAGCGCAAGTTGGCCATAAGATGTCCCACTACGGCTGGGGGCACATAGTTGTACTTTTGGGGAGGTCCAGCGAGCCAGCCATGCTCCTTCATTTCATCAAGCGACGCAGGGTTGTTGAGCCGATAAACCTCGAGAAGTTCGTATGCGAATGCAGCCCCTGACCGGCGCCTGTTGAATTCAGCATTACCAAGCCCTTCCTCGTCCTTAATCTCACCCGGCTGTTTCGCGGCCGATATGCGGGCCATATATCTGAGCTCCGAGACGGGAGCGGTCACATAAATCCACATCCGCGTGACGACTGCCGGGATCCGGTAGCTGCGGAACTCGTGGTTCTTCTTGCCTGATACTATTTGGTCAACGTGTTCGGGATGGATCGAGATGAAGATATCTGAGCGATCCGTCTGAGGACCCATGGCGTGAATAGCAGATAGCGGTATTCGCTGGCTTTCTAATCCTTGTGTAGCGACTGGAGCTTTTGCTTGTGTTGGTGTCGTTTCGAAATCGTCATCTCTGGTCGATTCCTGAGCACATGCTGGAGCGTTTTTACGAGTAGACCGCAAGAAGCGGCGGGGGGGCGAAAGCTGCACCGTGTCTAGTTCGTTGCATTTGCATGGCCCAGTGATTCTTTGATGGGGCGGACCTGTCGTGTGGTTCGGGCTATTTTCCTGGCAGGCAGAGGCGGAGGTCTCCTTCTCAGAAGAGGCCAGTAGCCCATGGACAAGGAGTTGGGTCTCTTCGCCAACATTTCCATAGTCTTCTTCCCCATCCTCCTGATCGTCAGTCTCGTCAAGGTTGTCATATTCGTCTTCCGAGTCGGCAATCACGCGCTCGGAGACTTTCCGGCGCCGAAGTGGTGAGGGGCTCTCTGGCGCTTCTGTGGCAACTTCAAATTCGTCAACAGACGCACTAGCCTCTCCCAGAACCAAACTGGCTGGTGCTTGACTGAATCCTGGTTCCTGTTTGAGTTCTGCCGCGTGAGGCGTGACGAATCGGACAGTTTTGGCCGTCGGTGTCGGTCGCTTGTTGATGGGCTGGTTCCCGACGGAGGACGCGGGGCTTTTAGTGACGGTGGTTGCATATGAATCCTCGATCACAAGAGTGCGGGGCCGTTTCGGTGTCGTCGAAAGTTTTGGGAGGGGAGACATAACATTTGTGGATTTGTCCTTCAGCGGAGAACGGTTTGGTACCTGGCTATATCTCGCCAACATGGGAGTGATGGGCGAATCCAGGGACGAAGGTATCTCAAGACGAACGCGCTTGTTCGTCGGTGTCTGAGGGACAACAGACGGTGTCCTGGTTCGATTGCCTCCGGTCATGTTTTCCTGAGCATCGTCCCCAAAGACAATGTCTAGGTTCTCCTCCTCGGAGTCCTCTATCTGGGCCTTTGCGTTGTCGAGTTTACTGAAGGACCATTCGGGGTGCGACGAAGACATTTGAGTCAAAGTCTGAGTGTGGTATTTGCTTTTTGGAGAGGGGCTTGGGCAGTCACCCTCCGTCTTGCGCCTCTTGCTCCGACGGGTAGAAGGCGCCGTGTGATCTTCGAGTTCATCGGGCACGACTGTAGTCTGGGCCCAGCCCATTTGGGTTAACGTGCTCTGATCTGGGGATGAATCGCGTTTGCCCGGCTGAGGTCCGCCGTCCCGTTCAATCCCGCGGTCCCCCAGTTGCTGGCGCCGTGGGGTATTGGTATTGCGGCCATAGCGCCGTACAATCTTTCTGCGTGGTGCGAATCTGAGCTGTTGTTGAGTTGGCGCAGGACTTGAATGGTAAACTCGTTCCGGCGCTGGCTGCCCTCGAGCACGCGTCTGGGGGGCCATCGCAATAATGACAGGTGGACAGAGATGAGGGTCGGGCCTTTCAGTGGTAATTCGTAAGATAGGGTATCGGTTACCCCCTTGTTAAGTGATGATTTCTGGATCGGAATCGGAGTCGGAGTGGGAGCACTATCACGACGCGTCGCGTTCACGTGGAGGATCTAGGTACACACCTTTAGGGCATGACATCACGAAAGTGGTTAATTAAGATAGGTCGCTGCCCCATGTCCCCGTACCGTAGGTACCTTATGCAATTAGGTAAGGTTCTTCGTGGGGACAAGCACAATACTTAGTGTAACTCACACAGAGACCTATAATTAATAATGATGATAATAATAATAAAAGAAGAAGAAAGGAAAGAAAGAAGAGAAAACAAACAAAGAATCGAGACAGTTGGAATCTGGACAGACAGTAATAAATTGCAATTGTCATAGTATCACGTTAACTTACCAAATCCAGCATAAGTGCGTGTGACCGAAACCACCCAGGCTCAACCAACAAACCCATTAACCTTACCTCAATCACCACTTCATACGACAGGATACAAGACTACACGAGCTCTGGCCGATTAGAACTTCTGATCGAGACTTTCAACCTCAGCCTCTTCCTACCTACCAGGGTAGCCCGATCGCCCCTGACCAACCTCGACTACAACTCACTGCTGCGAAACTCACAATGGCCGCCTACGATGACGACCTGGCTTCCCATTCCCAGTACCTTCCCCCTTCTGGGTCTCTCCCATGGTACGGAAACGAGTCGTGAACCAGTCAAAGGCATTCCAGAAGATGCGGTACTCATCTCCATCGACTTTGAGAAGTACGAGATCTTTAACCGAACAAGTATCGACGCGGCCGTATGCACGCAGATGGGTATTGCCGTGCTTGACAGTCGACTTCTCCGAGGCCGCGATGATGCTATCTGGCTCAGCTCACATGCAACCACCCCAATTCAGACCTATCTTTTTGCGACGGGCACCCCTGAGTATCTTCGCAACGCTTCTGGGATACCTTTTCGGCGAAATGGTCGTTCATAAGCCATCAGATTTCCTAGCAGCTGTATACGATCTCCTGCCCTCAACCCGTTCTTTCATCTTTATCGGACATAACATTGCAACAGAGAGGCGCGTATTAAGAGACTTGGGATTCGAACCTCCGCCTCGACTTCTAGGGTTTTTCGATACCGGGAAGCTAGGCGATGACGGACCTGACAAACGGGATAGTCTAGAGAAAACGCTCGCCCGGCTCGCGTGTCCGTACAGAAACTTACATTACGCGGGGAACGATGCCCATTTTCCTCTCCGGGCATTTCTACTCCTAGTAGAACGTGGGTTTCTGAAGAGACACCCTGAATTCCGGCTCCAGGACACAAATGCCCGGATTCTATTGGCGATTAAGGACATAGCACTGGCCCCCTGGGGGCGTTAGTGGTTTCGCTAAATAGCAATGGACTTGATGTATCCGCATTGAATCGTCTCTTCCATCGTTTGGCTGTACGGATACCTGGCTACTCAGCTGGTACAATACCCTGGTGTAGCACTTGGATATCTTGCTATTTGCCTATCACTCCACGGCTTACTGTCTGAGCTGATGTCACCCCTTATGGTCGCCATACTCACTTCTCCATGCCAATGCCATCCGGGTCCCGCGTCGTTAAACGACTATTCCCTTGGAGTTCTCTCGGTGGACATTATTGTAAAGTTTTATCAGCCACGGTACGGGCGCAAATTGAACATTAGATGTAAAGATCATCCTAGACAAAGTCCTGCGTCTGGAGCCAGCTCGCCATGGTCCCGACCGACGTTAGACATTGATAGTGCTTTGGCCATGGGATTCGTCTCAACTATACCATAGTACGAGGGCCAACCGTTCGATATGAAGTAATGCGCTGGGCAGACAATGCCGCCCTCATAGGTACAGATGACGGGAACCTCAAGGCCTAAGCAACAGTTTAAGACAAAGAAAACGGAAGAACATACCTAGTTTGGCCCGAGCCAGACAGTCGACCATCTTCCGAGATGTCCCCTTAATCACAGGACAAAGTTGATACAGTGCACCACACATGTATAAGAAACACGAGAAGACGGATAATAAACGAACAACAAAGAGACGTTGGTACAAATTGAAGGTTCTAAAGCCGCATCGGACGTGTTAAGTATGTACACAATCGCCTCCCATTCATTTCTTCGGCTCCTCCGGCTTTTCTTCCGGCTTCGGCGTCGGCAGCTTGAAAGTATCAGGCTTGCGGTCCTCGCCGGGACCAACCGGCTCCCAGGCGGTCGAGCCACCCTCAAAGTTGCGGAAGGCCTGGGTGAGCTCCAGGGGCTCGGTGACGATGCGCTTCTTCTCTTCGTCGTACCTAATCTCGGTGTAGCCCGTGAGAGGGAAGTCCTTGCGCAGAGGGTGGCCCTCGAAGCCGTAGTCGGTCATGATACGACGGAGATCAGGATGGCCGGCGAAGAAGACGCCGAACAGGTCGTACACCTCGCGCTCGAACCAGTTCGCACCAGCGAAAAGGCTGGTGATGCTGGGCACGGGAGACGCCTCGTCGGCGTACGTCTTGACGCGGATGCGGGCGTTGTGGCGGACGCTGAGGAGATTGTAGACGATCTCGAAGCGCTTATCGCGGGTGGGATAGTCGACGGCTGTGACGGTGCTGACCTGAGTGAATTCGGCCGAGGTATTGTCTAAGATTCGAACGTCAGACTACAGTGCCGCGAGCGTGGCATGGAGGGGACCCGGTGAGGGAAGCATTACACTTGAGGAAAGAGAAGACGGGAATGACGCCGGAGGGAGAGATGTAGATGGTGAGCTCGTCCTTCCAGACAGAGAACTGCTGGATATACTTGGGCATGCAGCCCATCAGCCAAGCACCGTACTTGTGTAGGTTATCGGCCTTTGTGGCATATTTGTCGGCCGGGTTGACGATGGGGGCCTTGAGGGTGCTGCCGACGTGCTCACGGGGAGCCATGCGTGGGTTTGGGGCATCTTTCGGCTGGCCGACGGGGTTCCCAGCCAATTGAGGAATTGAGGTCGAGAAACACCGCACTTCGCTGGCGCGACCTTGTCGCAGGCCAGCGAGAGCCCTGCTACGGGAGAGTCTGGTCGCCATCGTGGTGTGTGCGGGTGGCCGGTGAGAATGTCTGGAAGAAACCGTGCTTCAATCGTACGTACCGGAGATGCGAGTTGAGGTTGACGATTCGGCATTTTGGAAACACCGGTAGCGGCTAGACCCACCCCACCTGCCCCAGGTGTGTGATTAACCTCGCAACACATTTTTGCCCATCGATACGGTCGTTTTGCGCTTGCCACTTTTCTGTTCACACTCCGTCCAATTTTCTTCACTTTCCTTTCCACCATAAAACTTGTTCTGCAACACTCTGGCTTTTTCCAACCCTCAGCACTTTCACCTTCTTCGTCGAGCATTTCCATACAATATCAGCGAACCCCCGAACCCCTGGTGGGATTCCCAGAAAAAGAGAAGAAAAAGGGAAGCCAAAAAGGAAAAAGGAAAGAAAGCTACGATCCGTTCCCTTGGTTATCTTCGTCCTGTCCTCGAATCCCCAAGGGTGCGATATCACCAAAGAGGGGCGTTTCTTTATCCTCCGAACCAGTCTGCCTGCCAGAATAGAAAATTATATCACGTGACCCCACGCTAAGCCCGGAATCGGCTGGCCTCTACCCGCCAACCCATAGAAAGAAAGGCTTTGGCACTTTCCATCTTTTCAACATCTCTCCAAACCCGCACATACCTACAGATACCCCGAACACTGAGATTACCACGCTCTTTTTTTCTTTTCTTGTTACATCGCTTCGAGGAACACACATCATGGCCCCCCAAGACTCTTTTATCGAGGATGAGGTCGATACTTGGTAGGTTCCCTCTAAAACACTACGCGACCGGCGCGTTTGGCGCGACTCCCTCGACCTTGGATATCGGATCAGGTTCGAATTCGGTACCCAACAGTCAAAATGCTGACACATCTCTCCGGCAGCCCGCTGTGTATCGAGGAGTTTGATCTTTCGGATCGGAGCTTTAAGCCTTGCCCTTGTGGGTATCAGGTACGATTCCATTCTTGATTTCATTTCCGATTCCATTCCCGTTCTCATTCCTGCCTCCGGACAACACCTAACTCGGCTTTACTCTCTCCAGGTCTGTCAGTTCTGCTTCAACAACATCAAGAACAACATGAATGGACTTTGTCCTGCGTGCCGACGACCATACGACGAGAAGACTATACAGTGGAAGGTGGTGACGCCTGAGGAGTGAGCCATACCTCTTCTTCCTTGGAGAAGCTCGTTTGCCAAGCTAACGGACTTGTCCCACCACAGGGTTGCCGAGTTCAGCGCAAATATTCGCAAAAACCAGAAGAAGCGCGCCCAAGACCAAAGGCAAAAAGAAGTACAAAAACGCGAGGCCGAAAAGGAAAATCGCAAGAACCTCGTTGGCGTCCGCGTAGTGCAGAAGAACCTCGTCTACGTTACCGGTTTGACACCCACAGTTCGCGAAGACGAACTGCTGAAGACTCTCCGCAAACCCGAATTCTTCGGTCAATACGGCAACATCCAAAAGATATCCATCAGCAACCGCAAGGGCACTGACGGACAAAACCAGTCGCTGGGCATATATGTCACGTTCGAGAGGAAGGAGGATGCTCAACGATGTATCCAGGCTGTGAATGGCTCCCAGAACGGTGACCGGATTCTCCGTGCTCAACTTGGGACAACTAAGTATTGTTCGGCCTGGTTGCGTCATGAACACTGCACGAATCGCCAGTGCATGTTTCTTCACGAGCTTGGGGACGAGGAGGACAGCTATACCCGTCAAGACCTTTCATCCATGAACAGTATCAACACGCAACGACCACTGCCTCCCAACGGTGGCACTGCGCGGTCTGCTTCTCGCCAACAAAATTCTCCCGCACCACCAGCCCCGTCAGTGCCAGTCGGGGCGGCGCAGCCTATGGCGCGCACCTCAAGCAAAGAAGGGTCAGAAAACGGCGGTGACGGATCGGCGCTCCCGTCGTCTGCAAACTGGGCTCGGAACCCCCAGCGAAGTCGCAGAGGCAGTCACGCAACGAGCGGTGTTGCCTCAAGCCCCGCCATCTCGACATCGGTGCCAGCTACGGCCGAGAACGGATCCGAAGGCACCGACGCGGCCCCGAAGGGAAGCTCGACCCCCTCAAGCATAAGGACGACGAGCGCGGCAACTAAAGCTTCCCCCACTACCAAGCAAAGGAGTTTGCCCGATAATATCCTAAAGGCCATCCTCAAGGCGATGGAAGCTTGCCCTTTTACCTGCACGGCAACTGATCAGACACAAGTCGATAGTATACCTCCCATGTTCGATCCCCGCGGCGGGGAGAGGCGAAGAGCCATGAGGGAGGAGGAAGAGGCGCGTCTGGCAGTCGATCAAGAGGAGCAAGGTGAAGCTCGCGAGGCATCCGAGGGCGAACCTGAAACTGGAGGCAGCCTCGCGCTTGGAGGTGAACCTGAAGATCGGGACGCCGTACATGACTCTGCCTTCGACCGACGGCCAAGCACCCAGCCACCCATCCAACGTGGGGCAGGTGATAGGTTGCTCGGACCTGCTGCCATCAACCCAAGTTTTGCACAGGGCGCGGCGGCATCAAACTCTGGCGGAAACCGAACAATGACTCCGCAACAGCAACTTTTTATGCGTTCGCACAGCGGTTTCGGCGATCATCTTCCTCCCGGAATTGCGACTCCTCACTCGTCTGTCGGCCCGCAGCAGGCGGGGCACAATCGTCAAGGATCGAGATACAGTTTTGCTAATGACACTTCGGCATCATCGGCCGTGAAAGTATCTGCGAACCCGAGGATCATGGCCCAGCAGTCGGCCATGATGCCGTCCACGTTCCATTCGCAGCCGGGTAGCCAGTACTACTCAAACTCTATACCCGGACCTCCCCCGGGACTCAAGTCGACGGGGACTCCCCCCAACATGTTCGGGCAGGGCCATACCTATGGTGGCGGCGCAGGTTTCGGGGCTGCCGGAGCCCCTAAAGATTCTGCCGAGCTCCTTCAGAGTCTGATCCGCGGCCGCGGCGGCGGTGGAGGCAACAGCCAGGCACATGAAGTCGGAAAGCGTGAGTTTTTGTCTTCTTTTTCTAATCAGTACCCACCCTCTACCTCCTCCACCCCAGCTCCTGCTTCGGGCCTCCTGGCGTCGCTCTACGGCAACCCGGCCGGAGCATACCAAGACTTTGGTACGAAACAGAAGAAGAAGGGGAAGAAGCACAGACATGCTAACACTTCCTCCTCTGGGGGAGGTGGCTTAGTCGATCTTGCGGACCCGAGCATCCTGCAAGCCAGGATGCAGCAGCAACAGCAGCAGCAGCAGCAACAGCAGCAGGGCAACGCCGGAGTAGGGCAGGGCCTGTTCGGAGGTCAGAGCCAAGGTGGGTACAATCCTAATATGATGTACAACACTCGGTTCCCGGGGTCCGGATGGTAGCCAACCAAGCCTATGGGGGAGCCGGCCGGAGCAGCAGCATAATGAGGAGCAGGAGCACAAAGGTCGGATGGTTCTTCTTTTCTTTTCCTTTGTTTTCGTGGTGGTGCGCTGAAGATGATCGAGAGCCCCTTATCTGGCTGTCCCAGATCTCTTCTTATGTTTGGTTTTGTTTTGTTTGTTTGTTTTTCACGTCACGGCCATGTACTACATATGATATGGGGAGGGCATCGTCTGGCTTTTTTCACAGGGCAAAAGGAAGTCAGGTCTCCTTTAAAGAGGTCCAGTGGCATTCTTTTCACTCCTTTTCTTCACAACATGCGCACACGGAGTCAACGAGCATTGCGGACACTATATGGAGCACTCTGGGAAACAGCAAGGCTTGCATCGGCGTTTTGTTCGCTTTTGTGGCCTCGGAGTACGCAGCGATTTTCGTCTCGTCATATCGACTCTTCTACCTCATACCCATCATCATCCTTCCCCCTTTTTTTTTTTTTCTCTTCCCCCTGGTTACACCGGGTCACGTCAGGCAAGCCATCATCGTCTTCCCAGTCCAGTCCCCAGATGTACGTTAACTCGGCAGAACCGTCTCAACACTGAGGACGGGAAGAGACAGTTGGTCAAAATATAGCATCTTGCACCAGCACTCTCAAGAAAAGGGGGCCCTGTGCTCTTTGACCTACGCTTTTGCATCGTGGAAGTCCTCTGAAAGCACCTCAGCACGGAAGACGATGATGGAAAGCCGTTGTGACTCGCCCTGTAAACTGTCAGAACCATGTATATAAGACTTGCTTCCTTGTGCTCTTGCTCCTGGGGTTTAGGTGGGGGTTGTTGCATGCACAGGCTGTGTTAAGCTGTTTTCTTTTCTCGCAAGTATTAGAGGAGGTTTTGGCTGCTAACTGGGTTTTCTTAGATGACGAACTTCTTCCCTCGTTAGATGAGGCCACAAGCTCAGTTGATGCTCTAGTGGCCGACGAGACGCCCATCCCAACTTGGGTTGCGCCAGGCGTCTATGGCCTCACTCTTTCAACCAGTACTCCGGCTATCCCGACCCCTCCTCCTGGTTTAGGATTTCCCCACGGTCATCCTTCGCCGGCTTCTCGCCAAGTATCGGTGCCATCGACGTCGGTTCCTCCGAACCCCCTTCGAACCCAGACTCCTCATGGTCCCAAGGGCCAAACAGCTGTCGAATCCTCCACGCCAGAGAAGACGCCTCTCAAGGCCGTCCCCGGTTCGGAGGCCAAGAAGAACATCAAGGCTCTGGCTGTGGAAAGCGGCTTATCAAGGGATATTGCGTCACATTATGCGTCGCCCGCCGCTGCGAAGAACATCCTGCAGGACGAGGATTTCCCTGCCCTGGACGCAGTCAAAAGCACGAACACACAGCGCGCATCAACGCCTGCGATCCCGACCATGGCAACGCCTAAAGGAACGCCTGTCTTGAGCATGAGGTCCCACGTTGAACCGGCATCATCCGCGGGCGATTCTGCAGAGACAGATACGGCCAAGACAAAGAGCACGAAAACTAAGGGTTCCAGCAAGAAACCCTTACCGGTGACTGTCAGCATTCCGCCTAGTACATCGACTGCCACAACACCCGCTCCTCAGCCCAAGTCCACGGCAGACTTATCGGCCGTGTCCGACAAGTCCAACGCGTCCGCTTTTCCCGCCTTGCCCACCCCGACGACCATGAGTGCACCATCGCCCGGCGTGAAGTCGGCGCCCAAGACGCTGCGAGTTGTCAACACGCCGAAGACGGAACATCCTCCGCAGCCGCCATCTGGTGGCACGCTGCTCCTCAACGCGGCCGTGCGCGCAGTGTCTGGCTCGCATCGTCCCGAGACCCCGGGAAGCCAAGACGTCAGCGACAGCGCGTCGATCATCTCGGCCTCCTTTTCGGTCTCCCGTACCAGTTCGCCGCCGCCGTCGAAGGTGGGATCGGCGCCCGTGCGAAAGACGACCAAGAGTCAGCAGAGAAAGGCGCGCAAGGAGGCCCAGAAGGAGAAGACGGCGACCATCGAAGAAGCTCCGAAAGTTGCTGAACCGGAGGAGATCGCACCCATCATTGGACGTAAAAAGAAGCAAAAGAAGGAAAAGCCGTCTGCGCCTGTTGCGAAGGCTGTTGACCAGAAATCGGCAGACGCGGCCGTGGCCCAGGCTGGACAGGAGGAAGCAGAGAAACCTGCCGCTTCGTCGCCGGCGCGCGAAGAGCCAGAGGTGGAAGAACAGGCCGCCGATCCGAAGAAAGCTGACTCGGATACTACACCGGTCGCCAGTCCGAAAGCCAAGGGTGAGATGAACGGAGCTAAAGCAAATGGAAAGGAGAAGGACTCGAACCAGGCAGTCTCGCCCAAAGAAGATCCTCCCGAGTCCCCTTCGGAACCGGGCAAGCCAAAGGACATGGGCGACAACCCAAAGACGCTCCCGGAAGTTGTGTACCATGATCTCGTCCGCGTCGGCATGGCTCCGCAGGCCGAGTACCTGGAGCTCATCAAGCCTGTGAACGCGGACAGCCATAAGGGCGAGTGGGCAAGCAATGCTAACGCCATAACCGTGGACCCGGACAACCCGCCCCCGTCTACTAAGAGCTTCCTCTCGGAACAGGACCACGCCACGCTTGTGGCGGGTCGGCCGGTGCATAAGATCATCGACAACCACCGCGTGCTTCTGACGCCAAACGGTGATTGCGTACGCCACCTAACCGAGGGGGAAGAGCAGAGATATCTCTTCTACCAGAACCGCGTAGCCCAGGCGGCCGACCAGCCCGACTCGTTCGTGGCGCCGCGACACCAGTCACGCCACGCAGGTTTCTCCCTGATTAAGGGCCGCGCCGTGCCCAACGGACCACCGTCCTTTTTCCCACCGCACCCCAAGGCCGAAGCGCGAATGTTCTCCGACGATCCCCTCCATAAGCTCCAGCGCGAGGAGGCCATCAGCTACATCAACCAGTTCGTCCTGCCCCGCCTCAAGCTGGGAACGGCCAACCTAGGGTTTCCCGGGAGCTGGAAGTCCAACGCCGCCGTACCAGGCGGTACTGCCAAGGATGGCGAAGCCGGCCCGGGCGGTTCCTCTTTTACTTCTTCTTCTTCTGCGTCTGCGTCTGCGTCTGCGTCTGCCTCGGCGCTCGACAATCCTGCGGTGGCGTCGATGCACCGCGAGGTCACGGCCGCCAGCCTCAACTCCTTGGCCCCCTGGATCTACGGCCACGACGCCGCAGCCGGGGCCGGGATCTACTCGGCAGACGCCGGCGGACCGGCCGCGCTCCGCGACGTGCCGGAGGACGAGACGCCGTTTGGAGGAGGTGGTTTTGACCAGGCGGCGGCGCGGTTCGAGCCCCTGGCGCGGGACCAGCTGGGCAACAACAACGGTGCGTCTTCGTCTTCGGGGAACAACAGCAACAGCAACAGCAACAACAACAACAAGATGCCCCCGCTGGCGGGCCTGGCGCTCATGAGCGTGGAGGACGCCGAGGGGGCGCTGCAGCTCGCGCGGAAGGAGACGGAGAAGCTCGAGAAGGGCCTCAACCAGGTGATCCGGCGCAACCGTCGCCTGCTGCTTGCGAACCTCCCCCGCTGACTAGCACTGACCGTCGCGGCTGGGGCCGGGGGCGTCGCGTTCGCCGCGGCTCGGGGCCGTGCCGGCGGGGTGTTTCCGGGGTTGGTGCTGGGCAGGCAGCTGTGGGGCGGACTCGGACTCGGACTCGGTGGGGAGGGGGCCGCTTTGGTGGTGCCCCCGGTAGTGAGGGGGATCGTTTTGCTGGTGGAGAGGGTTGTGCTGTTGCTTTGCGTGCAGGCTGTGGTGGTTTGCGTGCGGTTGGTTGCTGTTGTTGTGGGGGCTTTGTCGTGGACTGCGAGGAGGATTTCGTCTCTTCTATGATGGCAACGGAGAAAAACAGAAAAGCATCCTGGAAGAAGAGAAAAAGGGAAAAGGACGTTATTTTTGGGCTATCTGCCCCCATCTTGTCTCCTTGCTTGAGAGAGACAGGGCTTTGGCTGCAGGTATGGTTCGACTTGCTTTACGTCAGATCGAGGGGGACGCGCTACAGGGCTTTGGGCTTGCTGTGTACGAATACATGGAAAACTAGATGAGGTTCTAGGGGGGGGGGGGGGGGGGGGGGGGGGGGGGCGGGGACAAAGTGTGGGAAGAAGTCAGTCCTGCGCCGCAGTCTATTACCTTCCAGCGGCAGGGTCGGAATAGGGGACAGTATCTGGATGGTCGGCGCATGGTGGTTTTTGGTCATTCTATGATGGTTTTCAGGGGCTATTTATCGTACTTCCCCTGATAGAGGGACCAGACAGTCGACGAGTTTGTAGCCAGCTTGTCACAGGCGGTTGCTTTACAAGTCAGAAGATGATGAGATTTGGATTTTCCCAACTTTGATGCGCTTCGTCTATCTCTCATCATATATGATCATGGTCATGGTCATGAGCTCATGCTGTCCCAGAGACTGTCCCCAAACCTGGCTGGGGGGGTTATCGTAGTATCGTATCATTTACGGTTGATCCCTCGGATGCCTCTCCTTCTCAAGCTCAAGGCGCAACTTCTCCGTCAACTTGTCCAAAATCCACTGGCTCTCCTCCTCGCTGCCGAGCAGGGGGCTCTGGTGCCCTACCCACGACCACTTGTCCGCCTCGTTGACGGACCTCCCTGCACGGTCGTCGGGGGGACTGGTACCCTCGCCATGCCGGTTCTGGATCAGGACCTGGCTCTGATTTTGACTACCTTGACCGCCGTCACCCCGCTGATGCACCGCCGTCTGGTCCCCATGACGACTTGGACGAAACCAGTCTAGAAGTCTTAGGCTGGCGAGGCCGCCGCCGCGTATGTCGTGGGGATGCGCGGTGGCTTTCCTATGGGTGTGGGGCTTCGCCTCGTCCTCGCCGAGGAGTTTGAGGTACCAGGCCCACTCGGCAAAGGTGTAGCGTTTTGGTGTCTTGCGGCGGGTGTCGCGGAGCACGGCGGCGATCTCGGCGATGAGGAGGTAGTGGTAGTCGGCGGGCGAGGAGGGGAGGGGTGCGGTGGGATCGCGTTTGGAAAAGGAGGGACGACGGGAGGGTGAGGGTGTGGCGGCGGAGGAGGAAGATATACCGGCTGCCAAGGCGGATGTGGCTTGATGGTGGGCGTCAGACGAAGAGGGCGGCATGGGATCTGCTGTCGAAGACCCGGGGGCAAGAGACTCGAGGTCTGTTCTCCTACTGTCTGCTGTAACCTTTTTCTCGTTGTCATCCTCCTTCTCATTCTCCCCGTCGACGCATTCCTCTTCATCCTCCTCGGCTGGGCGGGGAAACAAGGCGCCCCCGGAAAGCTTGGAGAGGATTCTCTTCAACTCGTAGCGAACCCTATGCTCGCCGGGCAAGATGGTGATGTTGCCCAGGTCGATGGTGGCGGTCTTGATGGCGAGGACGACGGTATCCTCGGCGTTGGAGATCATGACGGTGGTGGTCGGCAGGGCGAGCAGAGACCAGAAGACGCTGAAGGCCCTGCCGGCGGGGCTGACGGGGGTGAGGTCGCCGTAGCCCACGGTGGTGAGGGTGACGAAGGCGAAGTAGAAGCCGTCGAAGTAGGACCAGCCTTGGTAGTGCTTCTCGGTTTCCTGGAAGATCTTGGCGCCTAGGAGCCACAGCAGGAGCCAGGCGGTGAAGGAGACGAACATGGCGAGCCAGCGGCGGCGATGCGAGGCGCGGCGTTGGATGCGGCGCATGAGCAGGAACTCGTGCTTGCGGCGTTCGTACTCGGTCTTTGGGAGGGGGGAGGGGGAGGGGTCGAGGCTGTCATTACCCTTTGTTCCGTCGTCGTTCGGTGGTCCGTTCGGTTGATGATGGTGAGGGTGGTGCGTTGGGACGGTTGGGACGGTTGGGTCTGTTTCCGTGTTGTTGGGACCATGGCGAGAGAGAATGGGTTGGAGGATGGCATCTTTGCCGCTCTTGATCATGTGGCGGATGCGACTCAGACGATATTTCTCCGTCATGCGCGCGTCCAGGCTCCGGAGGCTGCGGTCGAGCATCAGGCTCCGGATGGATGCTATGAGGAGACCTAGGTTGATGATGCCACACAAGGTAAACGGAATGAGGAGGGCCCGGCCGGCTCCGGTGACGCTGAAGAGGTCGCCGTAGCCGATGGTGAAGAGGGTGGTGTTGGCCCAGTAGACGGCGTCAAGATACGTCCACCCCTCAAGTACCGAGAAGACGAGGGCACCCAGGAGGAGGTAGTTCAGGTACATGATGGTCTGGAGCATGAGAGTGCGCTGGCTCGAGGTGAGCTGGAAGTCGGAAGAGTAGTGCTTTGCGAGGGCACCCCAGATGGTGACAACCATGAGGGAGGCGACAACAAAGTAAAGGACGGCGGCGAAAATGCCGTAGTAGTAGGCTTGAGAGAGGACGTAGTGCTCGGGGGGAACCATGGCGAGAGGGCCGGAGGCGGTGGCGTTGAGGGAGAGGAGTAGGATGGACGAGATGTACCAGCCGACGATGGTGACGGGCTGGGCGATGGAGAAACGGATTCGCCGGGCCATGTTCATGAGGAGGAAAAGGTTGGATATGACGGCGACGACGAGTTGGACGGCGTTGATAACGGTGAGCCTGTGGGGGGGCGGGAGAAGACATCTCATATGAGCCGTATGTTTCGTCGGCGGTTCAAGGGAAGAGACGGTTCGGCCGAATATACATACCATATAGGATCATCAACGAAAGGGGCATCGGTAATAGAAGTTCCCGGGGGAATATGTTGGCGCCAGGGTCGAGCCAGGGCACAGATACTAAAGGCAGAGGCAACTGGCCCGAGGGTGCCGGCAATCATGGGGAATGCTGACGAGGCAAACCACCAACGACTGGCAGAAAGATGAGCGAGAGGCTGATGTCAGTTATGGTCTCTCTATCTTGAATGGTCTCTCTATCTTGAATGGTCTCTCTACCTTGAATGATCCGAGGGGAACGGATGGGATACATGAAGTGGTCTAAAGCTTCATGTTCAGGTTCAGATCGAGGGGGGAGAAGGCGACTGAAACCCAGTAGATGGCCACCACATACCTCGGGTATAGATGAGCAATGTCATTTTCGAACCTCTTCTGATGTGTTTTCTCGATCCCCTTCACGTCCTTGTCGTCGACCTGGGTGACCTCCATGGGGAGGTGACGAGAAGACGGCGACGGCGACAGCGACGGCGACAGCGACGGCGACGGCGAATTTATCTAACAAGATCGCGGTTCGGGGAATAAATGGACGTGACGTGCGACATGGCTGGTCTCGCCATGTCCCATACCATATCCACTAGACGACACAGGATAGATCTATGTCTGCTCTTGCAGTTGAAGTAATAAACGAAACGATCTTGAGGGGAGAAATCCCAAACCAAACACACTCTCTGTCTTCTCACCTTGGCATATGTCTGTCCCCTTGGCTCTATCTCTATACCTGTTTCTCTAGGTACCTACTTACGTATCCGTGTGACTGACACTGGCCCACTTTATTTGCGTACCTAGGTACATTAACAGCAAGCCTTGCCTTCGTAGCAGTACTACCGCCCGGACCCGGTTTTCGGACTTTGCCGTGTTTTCCGGGCGGCTTGGTCCCATAGTATGTAGCTACCTTATACAACGCGTGATATTGGGCTACTTTTGTAATGTACAAGGTATCTAGGTAGCTTTTACTGTACATCTGCATGCGCGTAATGGATTAAAAAGAAAAAGAAAAAAAGAAAAGAAAAAAAAACGTACTCCCTAGTCACCGATGGCAACTTACATCTATGACTTTCCGGGTCGGGAATGAAGTCAACATGGCCGTCTCGGAGTCTGAGAACATATCGTGCCCGCACTAATTTGCGACAATGGCCGGGGCAACTTTTTCACCGACTTTCGTCCACGGCTCCGTCGTCCGCGTCTGCATCGGACGTTGAGCGCGTCGAGGTGCGCTGCGGTTCGTCCGGGTTTGTCACCGTAGAGTGAGTTGTGCGAGCAAGTCGACTCTCGCAGTCTTTTCTTATACTTACCTGGACGTTCGTGATCTAGCTTCCATGACCTGTCGAAACATCCCGACTCGACGCCGCTCTTGATCCACCTCCCACCATTTGCCGTGCCGGCAGATGCCCTGCCCTATCGTCCGACATGCTTGCGTCGGTACCCTACTGCTGTCATCAACTACCGCTGGACGGGACCCTCCTCTCTCGCGGGAGGCCAGACCTCTGCGACGGCCCAAGTCGTCGGGGACTTCGACACGCCGCTTCACTGGCCCACTCCCCTCCACGATGTTTCTTTCGCCTACAAGTGGATCACCGAGAACCTATCCCCCCCCAGCGTGGGCCGCCGCGACGTCTACGTGCACGGGGCCTACCTGGGCGCCACGCTGGCCGCGTCTCTCGCACTGACAGAGTCGCATAGCCACGCGCGCATGGGGATCCGGGGCTTCATCGCCTACAACGGCATCTACAACTGGACCATGTTCCTCCCGGAGCACAAGATCAACAAGCCCGCCGGCGCTGCTGCTGCAGCTGCAGCTGTTCTTTCACCAACGCCGCTGCTGCAGCAACCGGCAGAGGGCAGCGCGATGCGCTTCCTCCAGCAGCACATGCCCGTGTGGTTCAAGTCGCCGGCCGACCTGTTCGACCCCTTCGTCAGCCCGAGCCTCTTCTTCCAGACGTCGGGGATGCTGGTGCCGCCTTCGTTCGCGCAGACGGACGCCCTGTCGGCCATGATCGACAAGCTCGCGGCCCTGGGCATCCACGGCTCGCCCGCCGACCTGATGGCGTCCTCGGGCGTGTTCAGGACCCCGCGCCGGAGCGCGCTCGTGTTCCCCCCGCGGAAATCGACGCTGAAAATCCCGGCGGGCCTCCTGCTGCACGACGCGACCGAGGTGGCGGGGCCCAGGACCTCCTCCTCCTCCTCCTCATCCTCCACCACCTCGGCGAAGAAGGAGAAGAAGGAGAAGAAGAAGAACGGCAGGGCGGCGACGACCAAGACTGGGGCTTCGTCTCCTGATGCGGTGGTGGTGAAGAGACGGCGGCGGAAGGTTCGGGGGAACCACTTCGAGGCACAGGCGACGGAGTTGGCTGGGCTGATGAGGCGGAGCTTGGAAAAGTTGGAAATCCCGCTGCGGATGAAGTGGGATGAGGATTTGGGCGACGGGGATGAGGTGGTGAAATCGAGAGTTCGGGTCGAGGATGTCGGGGAGCCGAAGTCGGAGCAGATGGTCATGGAGGTGAACGAGCGGGGAGAAGAGCTGGTAAGACGGTGGCTTGAGGAGCGCATATCGTTATGATGATGCGATAAGGTACGACAGGTACGATGTACAACCATGACACCCAGCCCGGCGCCATTGTTTATGGCGTCAATCGAAGTTGATCCAAATACGGAGTACGATGATCCGCTTATCCGCTTATCCGCTCGACACCCCGTATGGTAAAGACATCTCGGTACCGTCTGGCTTATATGGTTGTCCCGTGTATCACTTGGACCGTGGACATGTAGCAGGTCCACAGGGTGTGAGAACGAAACCTTCCTTCTCCCGCTACCTGACCACCTGGCCAGGTCCCTTCCTATTCCGATTTGTCTCTCCAAAGTACTCCTTCCGATCCATCATCGTCTGATACCTTACTGATACCACTCTGTACTGTACTCTGTACTATGTTCTCCTGCATCCCATGACCGGGACATGGCACCCCTGTAAAGGTGCTTCATGATTTTTGCTGGAGAAACCCGTGACTTGAGGCCCTGTACTATACCTTCCTGCCTACATTATACACTCTCACTTCTCGCACTCTTCCTATAACCAAACTATCAAGCCCACAAACCCACAAACCGCCAAACCCACAAGCCCAAAACTCACCTCGAGACGTCCTTACTGATCCGCTTACCGCTCCGTCTCCTACCCCATCTGCGACAGGTTTCGTTCCGAAATCTTTGCACCATGTCTGGTATAAGCAAAGCATCCCAGCAGGTTGTCGGTCGGGTCCGAAGTAACTGGTGTCGTGGTCGCGGATCAGGCAAGACACTTCTTCCTCGAGAGCGGGAAGCGTCCCCAAGAGCACTCCTCACGAAGAAAATGCGAACCTTTCCTTCTTTACGTCCAACTGCCTCGAGACGTTATCCATACATCGCTTTACCAGAGACCCCTCCGCGCCGGCCTCCCTTTCCACTGCGTGTGCGTGCCCAAGCTAATCCATTCTTCTCCCTCGCGCGCTGTAGTGCTTCAGCTCGTCGAGAACCTCAAGGCCAAGGTCAAGGAGGTTTATGGCAAGGTGAAGAAGCCGGAGTCTCGCAAGCAGGAGGCCCAGACCAATGTCACCGCCAAGGGAAAGGAGCATGCTCAGCCCGGTAAGCCTAGAACTGACAGAGCCCTCACTGGGACGGATTATCACCCCTCTACCACCACCTCGGTTCTACTGACACGTTGACAAGTCGTGGCCGAGCCTCCCGCTGCCCAGCCCCCCACCGTCAATTATACCCAGCTCAAGCCTACCACCCAGGGTACGTTAGGCCACGCTGCTGCGTACCCGTCTATGCGGTCCCTGTTCAGGTATAACGTGCTGCTGACCTGGGTGACCCCCGCCAGCTGCCGGCGAGCCTTTCCCTGATGCTCCGAAGCTGTTCAACATAGATGCTGCTTTTCAGCCCGATCTCAAGTAACATCATACCGTCCGACGGCTCAGGACGTGGTTACTTTCGTGGTTGCTGGGAAATAAGCCCATAGGCCTCCCAACGAGACGGGGGGAAAAAAGGAAGAAAAAAAGGAGAAAAGAAAAGAAAAGAAAAGAAACTCGACCTCAAGGGCTTGTCTGCCATCGACCGAGACCGGATTGCGACGGGGTTGTACTTCGCCTCCCTACTAGGCCACCTACCTAATGCGAATACTTGTGACCTACTTACTTCCTGCATCCCGTGAAATAATACTAATGGTAGTAGCCCGTGTCGAGGACGTATGTCTTGGCGTCATCGCATCGCCACGAGAATCGTTTTCGCAGCAACCGTGTTGGCTGAGATAGCCATCGTCTTCAGCAGCGTACCTAGACTGGCTACCCGATAACGTCGCCCAGGTGCATTGGAAGGGTGACCACAAATACGCACTGGATTGTCGGCTCTCGCTTACTGTCTGGCCCAGTGGTCGTAATATGTCACCGCCTTGAGCTGTGCCACTCCGTCACCCCCTTTATGCTTCATTATTTAGCCCAGGGAGCCTTTGTGATGGTAATCTGCGCATCCGTCGAGCCGCTGCCACCTCCCCCTCCTCTTCTCCCGCCGCTTCCCGGCCCAGTACCCGGCCCGGCCCCCGTTTGTGTCTGCGGGAGCGAAGGGGGCCGCATTGTCGACGATGGTCCTCGAGTCGCCCTGCTGCTGGAGGAACCGGCCCACGGAGCGCGGGAGTAGGGGATACCAGGCCCATCGGGAGGGACCGGTCCCCTTGCTCCCATGGGCGGGGGCATGCGTGTTGCTGCTCCTGCCGCCCAGGGAGCTGCGGTGCCACTGGTGGCAGAGGGTGGCTGATGAGAGACATGGATGGAGTGGGCGGGCGGGGTGGCGTCCGGGTCTTGGTCCCAGGAGAGGAGGGATCCGAAGGGGAAGTGCTGGACTACGGGGAACTTGGAGAGGACTTCTGCGTTGTACATTTTGACCATGCCCTGTCGGATTGTGGGCGTTAGTTGTCTCTCTTTCTTCTTAGGAAAGGAAAAAATTGAAAAATAACAAATAACAAATAACAAGTAACAAAAAAAAAAATTGAAAAATGACACACCACCTCCACGTACCTTGTTAATCTTGCCCCAGCCGTCGCGGACGCCGCTTATATCAAAGAGGATGGGACTGTGTTCCCAGAACGGCCCGGTCTTGACATCGTTGATGAACCCAATGGCGGAGAAGTACATGTTACTCTCGCGCCAGTTCGCCACCGTGTCGGCCTTGACCACGCTCTCCGTGCGAGGCGCCCCGCGGACGGATCCCTCCGTCGGCATGGGTTCGTCGCCCCCTTGGGCAATCGGCCGCGTCAGCTGGGCGGACCCGAAGATGTAGGGGAGGAAAGAGTGGTCGTCGAGACCCCAGACGCCGTGGGACCCGGCGGGTTCCATGGTGTAGGTCAGGATCAGCCGGCGGACTACCGTCAAGTAGGGTTCCAGCACGCCGAGGACGATCAGACGGTCGATTTCCTCCTCCTCCGCGTCGCAGGGGCCGGGGGAGAAAAAGCGCAGTTTCCAGAGGCAGGCGAGGAAGGCGAGGAAGGAGAGCTCGTGGCCTGTTCCGTAGTCTATGCGCTGCGGACTGCCGAAGCTGCCGAGGAGGTAAGGGGTGATTTCATCCTTCGCCTGGAGGGCGTCGGGGGAAGGGTTGCCGAAAGAGAGGATGGAAGGCGGGAGGAGTTCGTCTAGCATGGCGGAGCTGCGCTCTTCGAGGAGGGAAGCCCATTTCCGGAAGCTGACGTTGCCGAAGCGGCGGGGCCCAGGGTCAGGAGGTGCTAGATCGATGAGTGACTCGGCCTCCTTGAGAAGCCGACGGAGGGATCGGATAGAGGTCGGGAGGGCGTCTTCGGGAGGTAGGGAGGTGAGAGGGAAGGTCTGGATTGTTTCCCTTGGCTCTCCGGTTGTTGTGGAGAGGACACGGCGTGGGCAGAGGGAGCGGTTCAGTTGTAGAATGAAAGTGCCAATATCACGGTAGGCTTTTGTGGTAAGGAAGGGTGTCACGTCGGGGCCTTCATTGATGCGTTTCGCTGGATGCTGGAATACGTGGTGGGTGTTTGGGTCTAGAAGTTCAAGGCTTGGAATGGACGGCCGGTCGGACGGCCTGGTTGAGGGTGGATTCATGGTTTCTGGCAAAGCAAAAAGGACGTTCGTGATTGTACCGTTTATGGGAGAAAACGGTGAGAATGGAGAGATGTTGAGGAGTCTGTATCTCCGTGTCGGTTGAGGTGGGAGTTGGGTTCGTCGAAGGGGAAAGTTAGGACCTGGGATGAGATGAGGTCAGTGGCTTAGTCAGTGGGACATGTTATGTATTACATAATGCACTGTATTACGTAACACAATTTGAGAGTACATCGACTGGGTCACTCACACAAGCGAAACGACGACATCACAATTCACGTACAAGAATATTTATTTCATTTCTCTTCATCTGCATCGTTTTATCCTCACTCATATCATGATTACCCTCTAGGTATTTACCATGGCATGATGTAAATTGTCACCGCCCATTACCACACCCCCCTCAAGCCAGCTCGCACTCGATCAGGCTCTCCACGCCCTCACCCTTGCCCCAAATATTGACAATCTTGAGTCCCGCCTTACCGAGGAGCCTGCGCCAGTCCGCGTCGGTGCGCTCCTTGGAGGAGAAGAGCGTCATCATGACAAGGTCGAGGGCCGTGGCCTGCCAGTCGGCGTCCGTGCCGGGGATGACGTTCTCGTTGATGAGAAGCTTGCTGTATCCGGGCTTCATGGCGGCGGTGACCTGGGCCAGGATGCTCCCGCACACCTCGTCGGTCCAGTCGTGGAGGACCGAGTGCATGTAGTAGGCGCGCGCGCCCTTGACGGGCTGCTCGGTGTGGAAGTCGTAGGCCACGCGCTCGATCCGGGCGTCCAGCTCGACGATCTGGTCCAGCACGCGCTGGAGGTCCTGCAGCACCAGCCGCCCGGGCGCGTCGGGGTACTTGCGGCGGAACTCGTCCAGGTCGTGCCCGATGCTGCCGCCGATGTCGACGAGCAGCGCCGACTCGGGGGAGCTGGTGTCGGCGCCGTCGATGAGCCGCTCCTGCACGGGGAAGAAGCCGTCGTCCATCCACGAGGGACGGCCCTGGCGGTAGCCGCCCATGTGGTGGTTGAAGTACTTGCCCCATGGCGGGTTGGCCTGGACGTACTCGAAGTAGTTCATCTCGGTGTTGCAGTACACCTGCAGGGGACCCGCCTTGGGGTCCGACGGGGGTTCGTAGCCATTCTTGAGGAAGTACCCCGTCAGACTGGAGGCGGCGGGGACTAAGCTTCCGAGACTGGAGGGACCGGTCAGTGCTTGTCAGCACGGTGGCTTTACGACGTACAAAGTAAAACAGCCGAGATTTGACAGGGGCAGATCGGCATCGTCATCGTCACCGGCATCGGCATCAGCATCAGCATCGGCACTTACATGCAAGGGTAACCGTCTCCAATAATGGGGATGGTAAGGGACTTGGTGAAGTTGTTTGGCTCGTATTTGTCCTCGCCCACCTCCTTCAAGTAACCCATGGCAGCAATATGACGAAGCAGACGGGCCAGCAGTAGCGGGCTCGCCTTCAGAGACTCGGCGAGCTCTTCGACGGTGGAAGGACCTCGCTTCTGCACCATCAAAGTGAACAGGCCGGACTCGACGCCTATGGAGAGGGCAGACGAGAGGGTGGGCTAACCCATTGTCAGCACGTGTTTTTTTTTTCTGGGCACGAGTGAGGAAACCGGGACCGGGGAGGGGGGGTGGGTGAGGGGACTTCTAACCTGAGCCCAAAGATGCTTAATCATGGTCTCTCGGGGAGTCTCCAAGGCCTGGACGAGCGATCGTGCCTTCTTCAGGAGCTTTAGACGAGCCTCGTCATGCTCGACCGAGCCGCTGCCGAGAGCAGCGATCTCACTGGCTAGGCTAGAGACGCTCTCCGGGTCTGCCGCCTTGAGGGCCACGGCCACGTCGAAACTGTTGCCATTGGCCTCGCCGTTGTTGGAGACGGAACCCATGTTGGAAGGGATGCTGGGATTACGCTGTACGTTTTTGACGACGAGGGTAAAGGTTGGTTGATGCACCTGCTTACGATGTTGCGGTGAGACAAGGGGTGTGTGTGTGTGAAAGGAAGCACGAGGTAAGGGTAGCAAAAGCAACAAGAGCAAAAGCTTGGATGGGAAGAAAGACTCTCGATGCAGGAAGGACTTGCAGGAAATTTGAACAAAGCTTCTTCCCGCGACACGACCCCAGTCATTCTAATACGTTGTGTATGGGCGCAACTTATACGTCTCCACTCGACCAACCCCTCGAATCGCCATCCAGAGCGAGACGTTACTGAAGCTTGCCTATCAATGCTATCATCCTGATATTCTACCCCTTACCCCTTGGCGCCGCAGCTTGCTATCGGCGCCTGGGTCTGTCTTCTGCACCTGAAGAGGGGCGAGAAGCGGGGAGGCCCCCAACGGGGAGGGCGAAAACCAGGGTCTTTGTCGAGACGTGTGTTCGAGAGGTACGTTGTAAAACAAAGAGTGGAGAGCGAAAACCAGAGAGAGACTGAGCCATGCCTCACTTGGAAAAGACTGAGAAACCGGCAGACGCTTTTGACGAGGAGATAAAAAAACACACACACGCGCAAAAAGACCGAAACAAAAAGGACTGCCGGACAGGGCCTTTTTGAACTAGCGGCTCCGGGGAAGCAAGTTGCATGAGGGCGTACTTCTGCACTAAACCTCAGTGGACGTAGTTCAGGGGGGGTTCATAGTCCCGGAAGGGCATCCGGCTTGGATGTACCGGACATCGGAGTGGGTTGACGTGGGGAGGTCGCTATATTCATCACATCTCACATATAGGAGGACGTGGCGGTCTGGACGTGGTTGGCGAGGCAGAGACTGCAACGGTGCATATTCTCTCCACTTTGGCCGTTTTGGAAAGGGGAATATGCGGATAATCCTGGGGGCCCGAACCCGCGGGACTACCGTTGTATGCCATACACAACGTACTCGGTAGACGTTGTAGTGTACAGAAACAGCTTTCAAAACTGCATGTTTCACATTACAGGCCCTTTGTAGAGATCAAGAAGAGCAGGCTTTTATGGGTCATATGTACGAAGTAAAACACTAATACAACTCGGATGCACGCAACAGAAATCCCCCCGGATTTTGGTCTCTTGACTGTCTCAGTTGCGAAGTCCCCAGTTCCTGAACACAAAGCATTGTAGTTTGTAGCACCTGGTAAATGAAGGTCACACTCGGACAACCGGCCGGCCGGGGGGGCTTTCGGGGTACGTTGTACTTGTACGTTGTACGCTGGACACGAGTCGGAGAAAAGGACACGAACAGTCCGGTGGTTGACCACGGCACAACCCCAATCCGTGACCGGACCGACAAGGGACCCCCTTCCTGAACCCCTAGCAACGGGCCGCGCCCCCGACCCCTGTCCCGGCCACCGGTTCTGCATAGCTTCGCCCCCACCCGGGCCACCCCCATTACCTATTCAAAATTCTTCATCCGCTTATCCTCTCATCGCTTCACACGTTGTACATACAACGTACACCACGAATAAAGCAAAGGAGTGGGGGGCAATTCCCCTGCCATGGGGGTATCACATCTCACCTACTTTTCATAGTTATTGAACTGTCTGTCCCATCTCCCATCTCCTCGGTTTGATGGCTGCATACAACGTACACACATGCACTGAAGAACATGTGCCCGTCCCAGGACTCATATGAAGACTGGGTCCAGTGATCCGATCAGCCGTTTCATCGCCTTATACAGTATCTCCACGAATGAATTCAAAACAGGTTCTTCACCCCGAAGGATTTGCCGAGTAGGTGTTCTCTTGTCATGAACCATAACCGCGGTATCAATCGTCTTGAAACATTTGAGCCCGGGTCTTCCTTCACCTTGTGAACTGCATTCGTGCCGTACTTTGTAAGACACGATGCTCATATGCATACGTTGTACACCGTAGAGGGGTGGAGGCCTATAAGGTGTTCATAAATAAGTACGAATAATATTACCTATTACCACGCGGCATAATTTATAAATTCCTCCCCCTGAACTTGATTAAGTCTCTCGCTTGCGGACCATGCGGTTATGTTACTTATAATAAGCCACTTATTATGCCGACGACAGGCCAAAGGCGGGACCCGACACAGGGATCAATCAAGTCTCGCCGTCGGCAGTTGGCATCTAATCACACCTCACTATGCGCGGATGCCTATCTTATGATCTTATGTGTTATCTTATGATACGGCTGGGATCAATGTACTATGATATGGATACAATGAGCCCATTACATCAAGATACGAGATCACGATGGAACTCGGATAAGTAGAAACGTAGAACTTACCCCTGACCCTTGACCCTGGCCAGTGGGTTTCCGCGGCATTTCATACATACATGTACTTTTTCGTACAAAGTAGGTAAGGAAGATATGGTATTCAAACAGGCGGGTACAACGTATA